AAAAAAATTTTACTAAATTAAATTTAATCAGAAATTAAAAATAAAATCTGCTAAATTAAATTTATTTAGAAATTAAAAAAAAATTGCTTAATTAAATTTAATGAGAAATAATAAAAAAATCTGTTGAAATATAAAATAAGAATAGAAAAGAGAAAGAAGACAGAGGGGGCAGTTGGAGCGGAGCAGCGTCGGAGTCGGAGCTGGAGGCGCGCGTCGGAGCTGGACGAGCGTCGGAGCTGGACGACAGCGTCGGAGCTGGACGACAGCGTCGGAACTGGAGGACCTCGAAACCGTTGTGCGTCGGAGCTGGACGACTGAAAAAACGATCGTCCAGGGAGTGCGAGGCAGTGAGAGTAGAGAGAGAGGAGAGGGAGTGGAGACGTGAGAATAGCAAGACTTCCGCGAGAGAGAGGGGAAAATTAGGGCAAATAAAGCCCAACGGAAAGACAAACTTACCCTTAATGAAGATTTAATATTTTTATAAATAGATATTCTTAAACATATAAATTACCTTTTATTTATAATAAATAATTTATTTTTAAAATGTTAAAATTTAATTTATATATAATTATGATAAATAAAAAGTTAAAAATCTTTAAAAAATTTATCGTCTTAAATTTTTTTTTTTTAAAACTTTCTCATACAAAAAAGATCATATTTAATATACAGAATTGTGATGGATTTTCCATTGAATCAAACAAAATTTAGTAAGGACGAAGATGTTTTTAAAAAATAAACTAGTTCATTAAAGTCTAAACTTAAATTCACTCTTCTTTTTACCAGTAGAAAATGAAGACTACAAATCTTATTTAGAATTCGTTATCATCCCTTGTATCAAATTTTGAAATTAGTTGGTTTGTTAAAACCATTCGGAAGGAAAACTCACTATTCCAGACACATTACTTGTTTGAATTAATGTTCATTATATTGAGAGAAACATGATTTTTTTTTTAATTTTGAAATTATGTTTCAGTACCTAAAAAAACCTGGTTAAACTTGAAAAAAAAAATTATGTTAATCAATTGAAAATTATTCTTATAGTGACTTTTAAAATAATTATTATAAAAATAACAGTTTTATTAATTTAATAATATTTAATTGATTAATGATATATGAATATTTACACACATCAATATAATTCAGAATAAAATTACAAAGATCTAAAAACTAAACACACAAAAAAACCAAGTTAGGTTAAAAAATATATTAAAGATTGACATCGGAGGGGAAGAGAATGAGAGCGGAAGGAACAGTGTTGCCTCTATCCAACGATTTGGGGTTCGTACTCTAATTTCGTTTGTTCCTCCAACTGCCATGTTTCTTCTCTTTTTCTCTAACGTGCCTTTTGCTTTTTTCATAACTGCGAATAGTCTATCAAAACCCAAAACCCATGACAAATCCCCTTTTCTTTTTTTTCATAAAACCATACATTGATTTTATTTATCCTATTATGGGTGGATTGCTTCTGTGCTCTTGAAACTTTGTACTGTTATAAGTCGCATATTTGATTCATTGGTTCTGTGTATTGTGTGATTCTGATATAGTTGAGACTCATTCATCGTTTTTGCTTGATCAGGATTTTGGATTATTTGGAAGCTTTCTGGTTTTTCATTACTAAATCTCAGAACAACTTAGGCCTGTTTAGATTAATTTGTCAATAAGTACTTATAGTATTAGAAAATGGAAAGCCAAATGAATGAAATTTATTTCCCAAGTAAAAATCAACTTATTCACCTCACTCAGCTTTTGAGCAAGTTAGATGGGAGAGCTTCAATAAAAGTTGAAGGGCATAAGATTTTAACATACGAGAATGGTTTAATTCATTTTACCTTGTTGGGTTTCTTCTCTATAAGTACTTAATAAGAAATTTATCCAATCAAGACTACTATGTTCTGAGAAATTACGATAGAGTTCAAAAAATAGCATTGACCTAAAATACACTCCACAAATTGGAATTCGATTGGATTATGTTGATTTCATGATTTGTTACAAACAAGAGAATTTGTGATATATGGTTTAAGTATTATAATTATATTTGTACTTTTGTGATAATAGTATGACTGATAATTGTTTGCTTGTTTCTGATTTGTATATGTTGAATGCAGACACAACCTCTCACTCTTGGTGATTTGAGTTCAAGCATCATTCAGAAATGCTTCTGGACAAGAATGCTATTCAGGAAACTCATTATGAGGTTCTCAATGTCAAGGAAGATGCAAATTATGAAGAAATTCGCACAAGTTACCGTAGTGCTGTACTCAGTTTACATCCTGATAAGCTATTGAAGACGTCCGAGACATCCAGCAGTAATCAAACAGCTGGGGAGAGATTTCTCAGAGTACAGAAGGCATGGGAAATTCTGAGTAATTCAAGCTCCCGTTCATTTTACGATAATGAGCTGCGAAGTTCGAGGCAGGATGTCTTGGCTGCCGAAGTTGCTGATGTTGCTGAAGATTTGAGCCTACAGGATATGATGATTGAAGATGCTGGAGAAGCATTGGAACTGTTTTATCAATGCCGATGTGGAGATTACTTCTCTGTAGACTCGTTGGAATTGAAGAACATGGGATATTCCTTGTTGAGGGAGGGAAGTAGGATATCTATACTGAATGTTGACACTTTACCAGGATCAGTGATTCTTCCATGTGGATCTTGTTCGTTAAAAGCTCGTCTGCTAATCAATGTGGATGACAATTGAATTTATTACCATTTTTTTGTATGAACAATGACCATTGAGAGTATTAATTGTTTTTTATGAAGATAGATAGCATTTACAGCTGCCTGTCATTGGGAAAAATCTCCCTGGGCAGAAATTTGAGAATTGTCATTTTCAATATTGAATTCGGAATGCGGTGATATTAGTTTGAAATTAGCTATGCCAACTCATTCAAGCAAATTCATGGTGATAATTGTAAAAATATCGCTTGTATTTGAGAGTCTAAAGCGCTGAAATGTTCCTAAGATATATTAGCCAATGTTTTCAGAAGTATACACAAGCAGAACTGACTCGCAAAAGTATAATGTCAGTCATGATGTTTCTTTCTAATATTGGAATTATTGTCCATCTCAATTAACTCCTCTCTTGTTATTTGATGTTACGAGAATGTTACATTTGAGGTTGTAATTTTTGTTTTTGTAATATCTACTCATTAAAAAAATAATACACAAGCAAAACTAAGTAAAATAGATTAAACATTCATTTGTAATGGTATGCCTCTCAGAAAGGAGAATATTATTCATCAATACATCATACATACAATCTATTTGCAAACTAACGACTATTCTATACATGAGACTTCTTATTTTATACTATAAATCATAAAGTTGTCTTCTTTAGTTCCAGTAGTCTAGACCACCTTTTATCAACAGAAGCCTTGCTTTGTCCAGTTATATCTGAAAAATAAAACGATCTTTAGTAAGCTTGTCTAGATTTTTTTTCAAGGTTATTTTGTACTGTTGGTATTCCTTTGTATTACAAAACAAAAGAACTTTTCAATTAAAAAAATGCTTACATTGTATTGTACCCTCAGATTTCTCACACAATTCCGAGCAAGTGTCCTGCAAATATAAATATAAGTATAAAACCGTTGGCTTACAAATAAAAGATTTGAATCTCTACTTGAAAAATCATAATTTGCAATTCTGCTAAATACTTTTACTGAGGAGCTTAGCCGGATAGCATCTTGTACAAGAGAATCAAGATCAACTTCGTATCCCGGTCTAACATATATTACCTGTATTGTATGAATAGCTGTGTTATACCCTTAATTATTTTGGCAATAACATTGAACATGATATGCTTTAAAATCATCCCATGACTACAAATTTGGTATAGGTATTGTCATTCCTCATTAAATTATGGGATTATTTGGGTTTAAGAGACTTACATAAGGATCTCCTCCGATTTCAGGTAGTTGTACCTTGCGGTTATCTCTAGGTGCTATAAGAACCCATACGTTAAATTTGGCATCAATCTGTAACCATTAGTGAAGACACAGTCATCCACAGAATATATTTAACAGCATTTGACAATGTACATGATAAATCTTCACGATTAGAAAACTTGAAAGTTTTGTAAATCCTGCTTGACCAGCACCAATGACTGGCTCAATAGGTACTTCCAGGATCAAAATTTAGCATAAGTTCAGTGCTATATACATTTACGTATACATTTATAAATTATAAACATTTCTTAATTCTATAAGAGGTCTTACAAATATAAAAAGGAAAAAAAGCGAAAGAGGGTGGGTGGGGTAATTAATTAGTACATTTTCATGATGGAAGAAAATACCTGTCGGCAATACGGAGTAGAACAGTTGCTACATTTTCTAGTGAAGGATGTCGTAACTCTTCCATCCACGGATAAACCAAAGCTAGCATGCTGCCATTACCATGTACAAGTGTAGTTAAGCAATTGACTTTGAAATTTGGTTATAATATTATTAATTATAGCCATCAATGAAGATACGATATATAATTCAAGATGAGTTACTTATGCTTGAACACTTATTTTTGTACATTAGTCAGTTTCAATCACAATTTTGATCTAAAACTTTCATTGACAAATGAAAATAAAATATTTGTAAGCACCTTTTGGACGGAGAGGTTAATGAAAACTTGGGCATTCTTATGTGGGTTATCTTCTTCAATCAAATCCTGTAACTGTAGGTCATGCAAAGAGACGAGATACTCACTTGTCCAATCCCCATGATATCTGCCATCACCTGGTGATATTGTGATCAGACGGCGAGAAGCCCTGCTCGTATTCTTCCCAATCTACATTTGATCACATGTAGCAAATAGCATTAGATTATGATGGTTAAGGAGCCAATGCCTGCAAGCACCTCGGTAGTAAGAATATACAAAAATGAAATCAAAGACACTATTGATTTCAAGAGGTTTACTATGCATGTCATACACATTAATCCCGCTTATTAGTATTAAATTTACTAGGTTTACTTAGGAACTTTGTCGTCCATAATAGTATTATTCGACTCAAATAAAATTGTCTTCCATGAAAGATACTTGTAGTCTACACTAAAATAAAATTGCTAAACTGGGTTGGATTGAAACTTATAGATGACATTTAACATATTCTATACAGGAGTTTGCAACTAGAGATGAAAATAAGAAAAAATTGTAAAGAATCGTTGATATAAGAGAAGTTATACCAATGGAGAGTGCAAGTTATCCTTTCTTTTGGTAGAAGCAGTAACAGTGGCATTATTGTAAGAGTGAATCCGAGAGAGCAACCTGAAGGTTTTGAGCTTAGTAGCAGGGTGGCATGGATTGAATATTGGATTGAAGCTTCTTGGTGATATCAAATTTCCTGCATTTGCCATAATCAACTCTCCCTCGAGTCTAAGACATCACATGAGATATTTCACAATTGTATGACGATCTAACCTTATCTTGATGTGTGATTGGCGTCTATGCATCGTATGCAAAATTGCAAATGTTGTTTTCTGGGGGACACGTCAGAGTTTTCTGACAAACCTTTTTTCTTTTCACTTTCGGTCTCCATGGGAATTTTCACTTGATATTTCATCGTATTGCTTTATCATTTTGGAATCATTCTATATTGAATTCATTTATTTGATTTAGAAATTAATTTTATGTTGAAAAACATAAACTGGAAATTGATTTGGAAATCAAGTTCCTATTTGAGAACATCATAAATGAATGAATGTAACTTTCCTCTTTACTGCCTTTATTCGTAATGCGTAAAATGGATAAACAATTAAAAAAACAAAATTATCAACTCAAATAGTTAAAACCAATCAAATCATGTGTATTCAAATTCAACCAAATTTAAATAGACTTTTTAATAAGCTTGGAATAAAAAAAATAAAACAATTCAGTTCCTGTTCTATGATATTCCAAATAAATTAATTTGAGATTTTATCTTTTACAGCAAACAAATAATATTATAAATCAAAACTAGGATGTAATTTTAGTTACAAAACAAATCTAAGTTGTTTTTTCTAAAATCGATTAACAAGGCATTGAAATTTGAATAGATACTGTAAAAAAAAAAAAAAAAACACATCGAGTATAGATTATTTAACACGTCTGACGTAGCTAATAATCTATTGTTCCATATATCGTCATTAATATGCAGTTATTATTTTATAACCTTTAATATAACCTCTCTTTTTTTTTTTTCCAAACGGAATACCAGACAGTTTAAGTATAGTTTGATATTGAATTTGTATTTTAACTAAACTAGGCATGGCAACGGGATAGAATAAGGGCAGGTTTTACATTCCTCACTCCTGCCCCCACAAATTTAAATCGCCCTCACTCCCGATATCCGTTGGAGTAAAATCCAATACTCATCTATGTTCTTGACGGAGTTCAAGTTTCCTCATCCTACTCCTATTTTTTTTCTTCTTTATTTTTTTTAAATAAATATGAACAAATTTTTAAAAAAATAAAAAAGAAAAATACTTCAAATTTTTACATATAAATATTTCTAATTTTAATTTATATATATATAAATAATTTTAATTTTAACTTATATATATATATATATAAATAATTTTTTGTTATATTATTAAGCATGAGATGAACGAGGGTGGGTACAGAGACAAGGGCAGAACGGGATCCGCCCTCGCCCCTAATCCCTAATTTTATCAATCAAAAAAACTTAAATCCAATAAACATGAGTTTTTCTCGTCCAAATCGAGACAGGTTTGAACAAGTACTCATGGGAGCAGAATAAATTACCATGCCTAAACCAAAATGAGCCCAACTCCACCAAGGACAAATCAGGTTAAACCAATTTACAATGCTACTCGTCACACGGGGTCTAGTTAAAAATATCTTCTTTACGGGTACAGGTTAATTAATTAAACAGACCATGCGGTATGCAGGAATCAGCCTTTCAAAGATTTTGTTCATTTTCTCCTCCGAATGGGCATCTTTAAAAGAACCCTAGACACGCAACGAGTGGTTTAAGTAATCATTTCTAGACACATTTTCCTAATTCTGCGCCCCCAAATGAATCACGGATGATGGTTATTTTCAACTATATATGCTTTGTAAGTTAATTCTATAATTAACAAGGACTACAGAAATGTTATTAGTACAGTAAAGATGGTGAAAAAAACGGTAGTCACGGCCAATTCAAATGTCTGGTTGCATCCTCACTCAAGTTCCAAGCTCCTTCCATCATCTCATCATGTAACTGGTTCCATCCCCAGCTTGAATACCCCAAGAAAAACCAGTAATCCACGACTGGTTCATTTGCTGACTTCAGCTCCTCAATTTTACGAATTGTCATCACATGATCAAGGAAGTAAATTCCAGGCAGGACTTCAGGTAAATCATTTCCGGAAACAGTTCTAGTTAAGGATAAAAGAGGCATTCCAGTTTTCATTACTGGACCCCCAAGGGACAGAGGAGCCTCTTTCAATTTTTCCAAGTCTTTTTCCAAATTAGGCAGAAAACTCCATTCTATATGTTTGTTGAGGATAAGACCCTGAAATCCAGTTACTTGATTGGCTGCAACAATGACAATCTTTGATCCATCAAATGGCTGAACCCCCAAAAGCTTTTCTGTGGCAATTAGCACTGAACCAATCGCCACATGAGGCAGTGCTTCATGTAGTCCGTTTGATACAGGTGAATTCATCAGGTTAGATCTGAACACCTGGTCTAGCATTCTGTCTTCACCCGGGGCACCATGATATTTGTTGAGCATATGAAGTGATTCCTCGTGGATATCAGGTTGCAAAGTATCATACGAATTCTGATTCTTGACTGCTCTTTCAGATAGCCACAGAACTGCCACTGGAACCATGAAATGAAGACAAGAATAAATTTAGACTAACATAGAAAATGTTTAAGTTTGAAGAAACAGAAAACAAGGAATTAAAAGACAATTTGCTATTAGAAGCACAAGGTAATGGAAGATAAACTAGCTACAATTCTATTACTCTGCTAATCAAGTTCGTCTGAGTCTGAATAAAACCTGATAAATCTAAGTAGATACCAGGAATCAAAATGTATATGAAATGAGGATGCAGTGTTGAATCGATGATCACAAGAATGCAATCCAAGTTTGACACCAACAGTAACTGATTCAGATGCTATTTGATAAATTATATACAACAATAGTATCACACATGAATATTTACCTTTGTCTCTTATAAGATGATGAAAGTTACTTCCGCGCTCAGCTACAAATTTCATAACATCAATTACAGCCATATCTCCTTCATAAAGAACAGGTTTCTTCTTTTCTGCTGGAAATAAAATCAGAGCAGGATAAACTTCGCTCTGCACAGTAAAAGTACAACAGACAACATTAACCAGAGACTTTAGTATAAACAAATGACTGTAAAAATAATGCCCAAAACTTTGAACGCCATAAAATATCAAATAAGCAAGCCAGACAAGACAACTAACTATTTTAATTCAATGTTATTTGAAAAAAATTATAGATGAGATCCATCATATTTCTTCATGGCATCCATTGGTAACAAATATAAAAAAAATTCAAACAGAACATCACTCTAGTCTTTACAATGCAAATTAATTAGTTCCATCTCAAATTTTATCATTCCAATTTATACGTGCTTCTCCCTCATTAAAAATATGCTAACATAAATGAGCAACAGTTGTATATGATTATTACTGTTACAAGATTTGTTAAACAAGCAGACAAAAAAAGGAATTAATGTCCTTTAATTCTTTTATATTACTCATATAGTAACCCCAAATTGTTGTTTCATCAGTAGATTTTGATCCACACTTAAGCAAGATCAGGGATTCGAATCCTGCTTTGTGTATGCAGCTGCGTTAAATCTTGGGGCCAGCTATCCCACCCTTCGAGGTGCCTCCAACGTAACAAGGAGATTAGTCATTGCTATCGGCAGTAGATACTCCAGGGACGAACCAAAAAAAAAAAAACAAGATGACTCAGACAGAAAGGACTCTTTACATTGGTATTCCAAATATTCCACTGAATGAAAATTAGCCTGCTGACATTGCTTACAGGATTTCACTTTCAGCATTTTGAACTGCAAAAGATCAGTTGGACTCCAATTTCTGGACTTCAGGTTCAGGTTCAAAAATAACTGTTTGGCTTTTTCCCACTTCAAGCTTCACCAATTCTTTAAGAAGTTATTATTTTGAGCTCAATATTATAAAAGTTCTTCATAAAAGTACTAATCAACAATCCATCATCTTCATTTGACCCAACAATAATGACAGACATGAGCAATATATTGTCAAACAAATACACCTACTAATAAACTCAAAATGCTTAGGAAAGTGTGACAATAATACATAATAAATATGAAAAAGAGACAAAGAACCAAAAACTTAGCTCCACAAGTACCTGATCTACTGACTTCAGTATCAAATCACAGTCATTCAATGTACAATCCAACAAGTAGATTATCGGAAGCTTCATTGTGACATGATCCAAATTTTCTGCCATGTAATGATCAATTGTCAAACTTTTAAAGATTTATCTACCATTTGATCAGGAAATTCATAGTTTCACACAAAAATCAATTCAAATGACAACATCCAACATCAATAAGCTCCACCAAACAGGATAAGAACCATCCAGATTCGTGTTATGATCAGAGGCACAGAGTCAAAAAAAATTACAAATTACATGTGAAAATTAACATTCCATGATCAAGTAACATTCAATTTGATAGTGTCAACTGTCAAGCAGTTGGTAGGAATCCGGAATAAAATGCACAACAAAAACAGGAACAGTTAATTGCTAACATAGAAGCTACTGACCAGTTTACTAAAAGCAAAACCAAGACACAGCAAAACTTGCTGAAAACAAATACCCAAAACAAGCATCTTAACTGGATAAAATATGTGGTGGTAGAGTATACAGACAGACAGACAGAAACAAACACACAAACAATGTTACTATGACCAGAAATACCTTTCATATTCTGAGATCCCCTGTTTAACATATCCACATAGCCCTTGATGGCCCGATATACTTCATGAACAACCATTTCCATTCTCTGGCAGAATGAACACCAGCTATTGCTAAACAAGACCAGGACATCTCTATTCCATGCATTAGAAGTATTTTCTTTGTTAGAAAGGTTAAAACCAATAACAAGATCAGAGAAAGTATGAGCCGTGATTCGAGGTATAGAATCCACCTCATGAAAATCCAAATTAACAAATGGAGGATGGATGTTCTCCCTTTGGCCTTGAAGAACATGTTCCGACCGCTGATATGGAAGTAGGGTTCCATTAAGAAACTCAGAAAGAAAATCATACAGTGAAGAAAAGTTGAAACTTTTCTCTACAGGGTAAACATAATGTTGCTGCTGAAAAGGATCAACTATAACCAAAGATGGAATTTCACAACCACCAGTGAGTCTTTCAAGTAATTGATAATTACCATCAGAATAGAAAAAAGAACCATTAAAACCAAGAAATTGACTCTGTTCTCCTCCATACTCATTTCCACCTGAAGAATCAACTGTTTCTGGAATCATAAATTTGGTGGCAGTAAGTTCATGATCTGCAACAGATTCTTCAGATTGAAAAGACTCTATCTCTTCATGTGTGACAATAGAAGGTCTCTTCACTTCATCATGCTGAGAAGAGAGCTCATTTAAGTTGAGATTTTCCTCAAGCTCTCCTGCAGATCTAGGTGTATCTCCATTCAGCATCACAGTATCTGTATTGCCTGGTTGAGAAGTTTCTGTTGAAATTTGATTTGACTGAACTTCTGAATGTGATTGCTGTGTATTACCTAACCTGACATCAATATCATCAGACAAAAGCTGGAAGCCTAAATCCTTTGCCAGGGAGCTTAGTTTTCTATCCTTGTTTTGCTGGAGAACATAAGCCAATATCTCGTTCAAAGAACTCCCTTGAAGATCAGAAGGTACATTGTCTAAACTAACTTGCTTACCCTCATTTATAATCATGATGGAAGAAATCTTCTCCTTTAATTTAATTTTCTGAGCTGTTGTAGACAACTTTAACCTAGGATGTTCAGATGTACTCTTGAAGCCATGATAATCTCGAACAGAAAATTTCTCATGACTATCATTATTCTTCTTACCTGTTTGATTCACGTGATGATAGTGTTGGGCCAGTACTCTAAAAACTTGAAGAGCTTCCTTACTTTTTGCCCTAGTTGCTGAGGAGTCAGATGATCTATCAACAAATAGAAGTACAGATGGCTTATTTGCCGGTAGAATGGGCTCTTGATCATGTCCATTACCTTCAAGCTAAATACAAATAAAACAGGGTAAGTCCCAAAAATGGATTAATTAATAGAAAGAAGGATGGATGCTTGCATATTGGTGGTGTATTTATATCAATTAAATGAACTATTCAACAACCATAATCAGAGATGGGCATTAATACAGAATACGGGAGCAATGAAGCATAACATGATGACAAACACTCTGGAATATGGAACAAAAGTTAGAAAGGTTTTATTCACCTCTTTGACAAAATAATTATTCATCTGCAAAACATAGTTCAAGTCATCTTCTTCTTTAAGAATATTTGAACAACTTGAACATCCAGCAAGGTAGTCAACTGCAAACCACGGGCCATAATCATCAACACCTAGGGTTGAAAGCATCGACCTATTTGAAACCAAGCCAAATCTATTCCGCTCTGGAGGCAAAAAGAATTCTCTCACAGTAGTCATGAATTTCAAGTAAAAAGAATGAAACCGCTCAAATTCTTCAGAGGAACAAGAATGTAGAACATGATTATTCCTATCCTTGGCACCCTCCAAAGGATCATAATTTAATGAGGTAAGCTCCCCCAGCCAAGGAGCTTCACAAAACCCTTTATCAACGCCAAGTTCAGCCTTGCACATGTCCTCCTCTGATTATTGGGAAATAACAAAGAAAAGGAGAAAATAATGAAATGATGAATTTACTATTTAACTTCAAGATTTTTACATTGTCATGCACTTAGATAATACCAGCCACCTTCTTGTTAGTCTTCCCCCTTGACACATGCATTCTATTATTCCCTCTGGTAAAACCCATTCCATGGTGATTCCCTGCAAGGAAAACACCCACACACTGACAGTGACTCACCTTCTGACGAGTGCCACAACCATTAACACATTCCAAGTAGCACATATACACATATCTTTACTTAAAGAAAAATACTACATAGGAGGGCCTGATTCGATAAAATTTTCTATAAGCAGTCATAGAAAAAGAAAATATACAGGAAAAATGTAATAAATTTCTTTTTAAGCTAAAATTAGCTTATGCACAAGTTAAAAATAAGTTTTCGGAAAAGCTAAAAGTATGAGACATTTTGTACCAAGAAACTTAAGGCTCAAGATAAGCTAAATTTAACTTATAAAGAAGTTTATTCATTTTTTCCTCCTATTTTTTTCTCCTATGAATGTTTCTGGAAAAATTTATCCAAAATAGACCCTGATAGTAAAGGAATCCACACGTTCAGACAATTAAAACCATAGGATGAAAATCATAGGAATCATATTAAATATCCATAAAATATTAATCATCTAATTTGAGCTAATTGACTTGAAATAAAGTATGCATCATCTAAAACATACACAATTCAGTCTTCATCTAACTACACTAAGGGTCTTTTTGAGTAAGCTTTTTCATAAATACTTCTAAGAGGGAAAAGTACGAAGAAAAAATGAAATAAACTTTTCTATAAGTTAAAGTTCGTTTATGCATAAACTAAATTGTAGAAGCTCTCTCCTATTTACTTCCCAGGAAATCTTATTTTTAACTAATGCATAAGCTAGTTTTAGTAGCTTATTTCAATTTTCTTCCCTAGTTTCTTTGTCCTAGAAGTGCTTGTTTTTTCAATGATGGCCTAATTTGAGGAATGCTCAAATGCGTGAAATCCATTTCCACACTAACACTGCCTACCATTAGCATCATAGACATTATTTCTGAAATAAACAAATGTTAAACAACAAATTGATTGATTCACATACACTCACCGAGCACGCTGAAACCATTCTGCGTTCCGTTATCTTTAGTACTTGTGGCGAGCAGCTTGGGCGTCCATCCACAAAGGTCAACGAGAACAATAGCTCTGTCCGTGGAATCAACGAACAATCTGAAATCCAGAGGAGTGTTGAGCGCTTTAAGCGGAACCTCCTCGGGCGCAAGCGACATATAAGGATACAACGACGACAGAATATTCCGAGCTCGGAGTCTCCCTCGGTACCTGTACGACACCGAATAGTGGAAATAAACGATCGTAGTTTCATCGGTAGCGCCTACGGAATCCGCCAGAACCCTCTCGACGTTCCTGTGCATGAGCGTGAGTTTCAGCGAGGCGAACTCCCGCGGCGCGGCGGAGACGGCGAGCGAGACGTCGTTCATGAGCGATCGAGACTCGCCGGACCCTGCGATTCGAAATGGAAAGGAGATGCATTAGGAGGTGGAGAAGAGGTGAAGGAAGAGCGTGGTGGGTGGAGTGTGTACAGGGAAGCGTGACGAGGAGGAGGAGGTGAGGATGGAGACGGATCTGAGAAGAGAAATTGTGTTTGGTGAGGATCTGCCATTGGGATTGGGAGCATGAAGAGGGAAGAACAGATACTGTTGCTAAGACGAACACCGTCCATAAGGAGAACTTCATCGAAGCTGTGTGAGAGTGAGACTGTGTGTGAGTGTCACCACAGCCACCGCTGGCTCACGCTTTACACACCGCCCTACTCTTTGGATCCATCTTCCTTCATCCAAAATTTAGTTTAAATATTGCTCTAATTTTAAGAAAACATTTGTACTTTTGTTTCTCTCAATTTTTAATTGATTTTGAGTTTAAATGAATTTGTGTAATTTTTGTGTTCGACAAACAAATTGTATTTACTTTTACTACTATTTTGATTTTGATTTTAGAATTAATACATTCAAATATAAATTATATATATTATCATTTTGTGTAATTTATATATTATCATTATGGATGGTTTAAAATTTAGTTTAAATTATGTTCTTTATGATGAAGGTTCAATATTCTCTATAGTTATTAAAGTTTCAGGGTGTGTATTAGATTAGAATTTTAAATGATTTTTTTAGTTAAAAAAATTCTATGAATTTTAAAAGACTTTGCAGAATTTTTATCACTTTGAAGATTTTGTAAGATTTCATAAGACTTTTAATTAGAATTTTTAAGTTACGATTTTAATAGATTCTGCGAAATTTTGTGAACTTTGCAGAATTTCGTAGATTTTTTACATAGGATAAAAGTTCAAGATTTTTTTTCATATATTCAAATTTAAAAAGAGTCAAATATAAAAATAAAAAAAAAAACAACAATATCCAGATAAATAATAATAATTATAATAATAATAATAATTATTATTATTATTATCCATAATATCGTGTCCTTTTAAATAACATTGACTCACGTATTCATAATTATACTAGCTCTCTAAGCATTAACATCTTTTTGCTCTTGTTCCTGAGTTTTAATAATAGACTCAAAATTATGATTTTCATGAACCGGTAATGTTAAAAATGAAGGTTCGTCTACCACTCCAATTGAAAATTCATTAAAATGACATTTTTACGAAGAAATTTATGTAGTGTTACACATGCTGAAAATTATTCTAAACAACATTTCAATTTTTTATAATTTATGATTTAAAATATTTTATTTATAAATAATTAAAAAAAAAATAGTGAGACAGCTATCCTACCATCTTATAACTAAATATGTCCTTCATTTTATATTGGTATTGAAGTAAAAATTTACAAACATCAACTAAAAGAAAAAATATATATATATGAAATTTGTTACAGGTACAAAATAATTTTTTTAATTTTTAATTATTCATTCGTGAAAAAATATTTTTAGTATTGAATTCTAAGATATTGCAATGTTTTATGTTAATTTTTTTTAAATATAAAAAATCATAATTTCACAATATAAAAATATTAAAAAAAAATCATAGTAAAAAAATAAAATAAAATAATTGTTGAGGAGGAATGATAACAGTAACAAATTTAAGAGAGAGAGAGATCGCAGTTTTTGTGCTAAGATTGTTCTTTCCCCAACTAAGATTCATTCTTATCTCATTTTACTCACAGAAACTCTAACTCAAATTCATCTTTTATATATATATACATATATATATATATATATATATATATATATATATATTGTTCTAATAAATCTAAATTGATTACAAGGTCTTTAAGATCTACAATTGATTATAAAGATCATGATATCTATTTTATCTTTCACCTTTCTATTTTATTGACTCGTGTTATAAAAAAAATTATTACTTAAAAGTTGAAATTTCAAACGTTTTCTATATTATATAACTAAGGAACAATCTCAACTAATAGAGCAAGTTAATTAAAGAAAACGGAGAAAAAAAATAGAACAAGTCAATAACACTATCATTTACATATAGAAATTTCACCAAATAGGATAATGGAATAAAACCAGTAGTATAGTATTATATATGAGCAATATTGCAGTATTATTAGCAAGAGAGAAAAAAATGGAGAAGACATGAGCATAGAAGAAAAAGATGAAAAACTCACGTGAAAATTCTTGAAGCACTTAAAAAGTTACTTCAAACAATCCTCCAAAATCTGATGGATTTGGATGAGATTGTTTTATGAATTTGGTATTTATAGATACAACTAAAAAATCCTTCAAAATCCCTCTAATACAACAATCTTTTTAAATTTCTATATTTTTCAATACCAATTAATTGTTTTTAAGTTGTAAAAAGTCTTAAATAAATACCAGTGAATTTTAATGGACTCTTTAAAAAATATTGAAAATTCATATTGAATACCACTTAATTATTTTTAAGTAACATAAAATTATAATTGAATACCAACGGACTTTTTTACTCAAAAAAAGTCTTTTAAAATCCTATGAAATCCTAAACCAATACGCCGCTCTTATTTTGGTGGGTATATTTAAGTAAGAAGACTTTTTGATGTCAAAAGTGAAAATCTCTTTAATAAATCTACAATAAGTGGGTAATAATGTTTGATTAAAAGATTTTTAACATGTAATTGATAAAAAATATTAATAACACTTTATTCATTATCATTATTAATTGTAGTTCAATAAAAATCACAAATTTATTTAACGAGGCGTTAAACTCTACTAAGATTATCATTAAATTCCAACTAATAATAGATATCATTTTAGTAAAAAAGTGTTTGTGGCATTCCTTTTGAATATGATTAAGGCTGAAGTACATGCAAAACATGTGTCATTACTTACGCTAATAATGGCCCTGATACAAGGAATATGATAATAAATTAATATATTTGTAGTAATGATTTATAGCATATCTAGGTGTTAGACTTGAGTTTTGGTAACTAAGCCCTTTATATGTATTATTCTTTTTTATTGTGCCTAAATAACTTATAAGCAACTTTACTAGGTACTTTAGCACTGGTTGTTCTTTATACTCACTTTCCTTGCACAGGTTTTGGCTAAAATGGAATAGGCTTCAACCCAAACTATAATATTAGCCCCATCTTAATATGTTTCTAATTTACATATCAAGGTCAATGACTTTATTCTCTCGCATGAGAATTTTTTACCAAAATATTATTTAAAAAAAAAATTTACAAGATTAACAACTGTGCAGGTTTATTTACCACACTAGAATCATTTATTGTGCATGCTCAGAATTCGGTTCCCGAAGAACCGAACTCTGAGCTTCAAAGTGTAATTTTTTTTGTTTTTTCAACTCAGAATTCGGTTCCCGGGAAACCGAATTCTGAGTTGGTTTTATATATATATATTTTTTTCGTGTTGGTGAGAAATTTGGGCAGATTTTGGAAGTGGAACGGCCCGTTCCGAAATCAGAACGGGCCGTTCCGCTTAAGGCCACAAAGTGAATTTTTTGAAATTGAAACGGGCCAAGAACGGGCCGTTCTAATCTGCCCAAATTTCCCCACAAACACGAAAAAAAATAATATATAAAACCAACTCAGAATTTGGTTCTCGGAGAACCAAATTCTGAGCATACACAGTAAATGGTTATAGTGTGGTAGATAAACCTGCACAGTTGTTAATCTTGTAATTTTTTTTTAAATAATATTTTGGTAAAAAATTCCTCGCATGATATGCTCACTCATTATTTTTTTAATGTTTGTTAATCGCTTCATCCAAATTGTTTCAATTTCAAAGCATTTACTTTTATTGTTTATTTAACTCCGAGTGCATCACATCTTCATTGTAAATGGAAAGAGATTCTCTGTTCTTTCGTTGTTTATAAGCAAGCTTTATTTTTTTGTTAATTGAGTCATCTATGGATTAAAAAAACACAACATGGGTGTACAAGTTATTAGCTCGATACGTTACTCTTTTATATTTCCGTAATTAACAAATATCGCCATTTGTACCTTATTTTATACACGATTTTTAACATAGGGTTATTCCAACATGGATAATACAAGTATCATTTGAGATACCACTTTGGAATTTTATTTTCTTGATAATGTTGGATGTTTTTAAATTTTCAGTTTTCAATGAGTTCTTGATAATGAATTATCCACCAGATTTCAATTTTCAGTTTTCAATGAGTTCTTGATAATGAATTATCCACCAGACGTATGCTAAATTCTTGCTTCGATTGTCTTTGATGCTAAACAAAATTAAATTGTTCACACATATATATATATATATATATATATATTAGTTTAAAATTATAAAATATATTAGTTTATAAAATTATTTTTTATATTAAAATAACATAATATATTATTTGAGTTTTTTTTTTAAATAAGAAGAATAGAAGTATTCAAGTTAGATATTGTTCCTAAACTATTTACTCTTACTTAATGTACACATATATTTTAATGATATCCTACTATTAAAAAAAAAGTAACCAAAAAATATAAGAAATAAAAAAAAAATAGTGAGTTAACCCCTCTAAACCAATTTTTTGATAAGTTAGAAATATCATATCAAAGTAAGTCAGTAGATTCACAAATTGAACTTATGCGAATTAGTCCATTGAGTGAAACTCATCTTGTTACCTTTAATTGAAAGTAGCTATTTTTATGTTTTATTATAATAAAAATTTTAAAAGTAAAAATATATGTAAGTAAGTGAAAAGATATTTTTGAGAGGAAAAAAATAATTAGGAGATAGACATTTTTTAGAGATAAAAAATAATGCTGATAATGAATATAAAAATATTTATATATTATAAAAACAATAAGTACTTATTGTAATTACAATATCAAAATATTACAAAGTAGTATTATAAAAATGAAATTTTTAAAAAATTTATTGAACAAATCAAATTTTAACTTATCTATATTTTAAAATATTACAAAATAATATTATAATAATTTTTATAAAAGTAAAAGTGTGTTAAAGTAAATGAAAAATATTTTTTAGAAGATAAAAAGAAATAAAAAATTGACATGTGACCATTCAAAACTCTATTTTTTAAGTAATAATAGATAGATAGATTGATCTTTAAAAAAAAATTAAATTAAAATACATCAACTTATTGTCAAATATGTCAAAACTAAAATTTCAAAAATTCAATTCAAATTACTATTAAAATGATTTAAAAATATAATTTATACATAATGGAAAAATGTTAGTCTCTTAATAAAAATAAAATAATACCGTAAAGCTTTTTACAATATTGGTAAAATTATTTACCAACATTTATAATTAAAAATATATAATATTATAATCTATAAACAAATTTAAATTAGATAAAAATAACAATAATACAAAACAGAAATAATACTAATAAAATATATAAAAAATAAATCCATATCATAAACATAAAAAAATATTATTACAATACAAACAGAATATTATTTTAATTCCAAAATAATAATCAAAAAGATAAACATAATAAAAAGTTATACATAGTAATAAGTTGTTGTTTGAGTCATAACAATAATAAAATATTTATATTTCAAAAAATTTAAAATAAATTAAAAAGAAAAGGAAATATTTATACTATGCAATTAGTTTTATTTTAAATCTCATATATTTTTTGTCTTTGTTACGTAATGGTATAATTAAAATAGATTAGAAAACATGTATGATGTTTTTTTAAATAATATAAACTTAATGAAATTCTTTTAATATGAATTTTATTATATTTAATATAAAAATAAAACTAATAAACAATTGAGATTTCTTCCATTTCAGTAGTTTAATGAATCTCAATGTAATAATATATATATTTTTTTGGTAGATCAATGTAATAATATATAAGTGACTATTTATAAAATAAAAAATAAATAAATTATAAGAGTTAACTGATATGTAATTAAAATTAAGGCATTTAATAGAGAAGTAATTAATTATAACAAAATTAAAATTCGTAAATCTATTTATTAACAGATAAAATTTAAATAAAATATCTATTGACAAAGGAGATAAAAATCTAAGAAATTATGTACTCATTTCCCTTTTTCAAATAAGAAATAAATAGACACAAATTTTACTGGTCGGAGATGCTAACGTTGCATCATAGCATCTCCAAAAACTCGGACGGGCCGGCAAAAACCGGTTCGCAAGGACCAAATGAGAATGGCCCAATAAATTAATAAATAAATAAAAAAATATATATTGGTCCGTTCCATTGCGTTAAAAAAACAAAGACATGAGTGAATGAAAAGAGGATTCGGTTTTGGAGCGCTTCTCATTTCCTTCCGCAACTGTAACCCTCTCTTGCAGCCGCCACTCTCACTCCCCACCCTCCTTCGCGCCGTCAGATCTCTTTCTTCTCCGCCTTCCTCCGCCGCAGCCATGACCGGAGCTGGGAGTCTCGATGTGGAGTGGCCGGCGAAGCGCGTCAGGGACACTTTCATCAGCTTCTTCGAAGATAAAAATCACGTCAACTGGAAGTCCAGCCCCGTCGTTCCCTTCAACGACCCCACTCTTCTCTTCGCCAACGCTGGTACGTTTCACGATGAATGATTCAATGTGCGGATTCTTTGAATTCTTCTTCAAGTCTCTGTATAGTACCACCATGCTATATTTGAAATCGAAATCAGTCATGCGAGGATTTTAACTTGAAGTTCAAAGTGAGTCCGAATACGTGTGGTGTCAATTTGTTCCAAAATGATTCGTGGACACCTCTTGCTTATTTTTTTTTTATAGTTTTTCTTGATCACTGCATAACAACCTGGGATAATTCTTATAATGGGACAGAGGGAGTAAGTTTTAACAGGGTGTTTGTTGTGGAAAGTGGTTCTTATATCATTAATTAATTTGTTATAGTATTGATGTTATGCAATTGTAATAATAATACACATCTAGTAATTTGTTTTTCCGTGAGAAAATATATGCTATTTTTTTTGTTAAAGTTTCTTTGTGATGTGACAGGTATGAACCAGTACAAACCAATTTTCTTGGGAACTGCGGATCCTAACACTGCCTTGAGCAAACTCTCTCGTGCCTGCAATACGCAGAAGTGCATACGAGCAGGTGGTAAACACAATGATCTTGATGATGTAGGAAAGGATACCTACCATCACACCTTTTTTGAGATGTTGGGCAATTGGTCCTTTGGGGATTACTTTAAAGAAGAAGCCATTAGCTGGGCATGGGAGCTTCTAACCAAAGTATGCTTTATCGGTTGAAGTTTCTTATTTTGCTTCTTGAACTTGATTTACAAGCCCCCTTTGTTGTAACCAATGGTAATTATTTTTGTTAAATCACTATGCAAAGTGCTTTGTGCTTGAGAATGATAAGTAAACACTAGCAGGTAGCTAGCAATTAACTGGTGCTACCCCTTCTGTGCCATATAGGTTGGTTTTTCTTTGTTATTGGGCTTCTGTGTTTCTTAAATTGTGCATTGCATACAGCGGCAAGTTGGTCTTCTGGTGTTCAATTACTCTATTTTAATTAGCAATTTCACCATTACTCTCACCAATACTTCCACTTCATTTAATTGCACCATGCCTACCATTGATGTACTGAGTTTTGTGTGAGGAAGAATGATGTTTTGTGACTTAGGTATTATTAAGTTCCTAGATTCATGGAGATATAGAACAACATATAAGTTATCATGTTGCATATCCATCAGTAGTATGTTAGTGTTCAATTGTCAATTGTAATATCGACATTGGGTATCACATTGGATGACCTCCACTACTTGCTAATTATAGATAAATCAATGATTTCATCCAATGAAAACAATTAAATTAGATTGTTTAACTTATTTGTATGGTACTGTACAGTGTTGCTAAATTGAGAAGTTCATGGTCACTTGATTTCTCAATTAATGCAATGCATGATTATTACTCTTGTAAGTTTACATCATTTACTTCTTTATCATGCTGCAGGTTTATAAATTACCATCAGATCGCATTTACGCGACATATTTCGGTGGTGATGATAAGTTTGGTCTGGCCCCTGATTTTGAGGCTAGAGATATATGGCTAAAGTTTTTGCCTCCTGGACGTGTGCTTCCTTTTGGCTGTAAAGTATGCTTCCATTACATCTTCTATTAAATTGTGAAATAGAATATCTTAACAAAACAGGCAAAATATATTTGATATTCTGGTAAACAGTATGCATTATTTTGATAAGATGCTTCATAATTTCTATGTTCCATAAGATTATTGTAACTTGTAACTTAACTTTGGTCCGTGTATACTGTATGGGTATTAATTTTGATGGGATCCATGCGGGCCTCTGGATCATAATCAGAAGCCTCCTTATGAGGTGTGTGTAACTGAAAGTTATGCTTTGACGGTTATGCTATGAATTCTGTTTAGTAGTGTGTAGGGGCAATTATGCCTTTTGACAGTTATGCTATCTATTATGTTTTCACTATAGTAGTGGTGTGTGACAGGGGCAATTATTGTGTAATTTGGACCGAGTTTCTCTGTAGGAGTTGTAACAACTATGGACAGAAGACACTTGCAGTATTTCTTTGTGAATCAATAAAATTTCTACCAACTTATTATAGGTGTTCTATCAAATTAGTGCTAGAAACAGTTGCATTTTATACTGATATTATTTGACCCAAAATATATGGATGAATGTTATTTCACATACAGCTTGTTTCTCTATTCTGATTATGTGATGATAAATTACTTTTTGTACTTGATGGGTAACAATGTGATTGCAGTTAGTTAGTTATCTGTGAGTAATAAATGAAGTTATCTCAAAAGATTATTTGAGCTTATCATATGAGTGCTGGGACCATTTCACCTTTCCTTTTAGAAAAAACCTAAAATGCAATTTTTATTTTATTTTATTATTTAAAATAATCATCAAGAATGCAAAATCTATTTAATATTGTATTGTTAATTGTGTCTGAACTGAATCTTCGTTTCTTACTAGATTTGTATCTTTGCATAGGACAATTTCTGGGAGATGGGTGATACTGGTCCTTGTGGACCTTGCACTGAAATACATTTTGACAGAATTGGTAACCGTGATGCTGCATCATTGGTTAATAATGATGATCCTACCTGCATTGAGATATGGAACCTTGTCTTTATTCAGGTATTTTAATGCTACAGAAATGCGTTATTCCCTACTTTTTTTCTGACCTCATTCATGTACTTTATATGTTGATATTAGAATCCATCTCGGAGCTTGTTTAGATACAAGCTTAAGAGTTTCCGAGAGCTTTTCTACTGGAAAAAACTCTTTATTTTCAGTAGATAAGTTCTCAAAAGCACTTTTAAGCTTTTATCTAGATAGACTCTTAGTGTGTAACCTTGTTCTATCACCATTAAATCTGAATGTACGTGACTAATTGTTTTGGCTGGTAACAGTTCAATAGGGAGGCTGATGGCTCTCTTAAACCTCTTCCTGCAAAGCACGTTGATACAGGCTTGGGTTTTGAACGTCTGACCTCCATACTACAGAACAAAATGAGCAATTATGACACTGATGTCTTCTTGCCTATCTTCGATGGTATTCAGCAGGTAAGTTGGAGTAGGCATTAGAGTTGTTATATTTCCATTGTCTTTGTTGAACAATGATAACATTTTGGCCTGAATTTGTTGTATTTGACATTTAATTTGAATTTGTAATTCTTGTAACATGGTGTCACTAATCACTTTTATACCGGAGTGTATAAACATGGTGTAGAGAGAACAGAGGATTGCCTAACCTATTTGGACCTGCAGTTATCCATTTGCATGAAGAAGTTCTAGTGAAATGTTTAAATATTTAATTGTTGCAACTCTATAACAACTAACTGTGAAATAAATGTTGACTAGGATTAGGGTTGAGTGTGGGGCTGATACTCATTGGCTATGAAGCACCGATACTTCAATTTGCTTCACGTATCCGTATCCGATACGTATCCGACACGATACTCTTGGATACTTCACCGATACGTGTCAATGAAGTATCCTAACTTTTGAAAATATTATGAAAATTTTATTCAATCTCGATACTCTCAGATACTTCACCGATACTTATCGGTGATACATATCGATAAAGTATTCAAATTTTTGAAAAATTATGAAATATCCTTTACAACTAAATAAGATATATAAACATTTTTAATATACAAACATAGAAATATTGGTCCTTGATAAACTGTAAATGAAAATTGTCTTCTACTTCTACATAGATAATTTTAAGAAAGGAATGAAATTTGATAATATTATTTCCATTTGTAAATAATAAAAAGTAATTTATGATGAAATGGTTTATAATTATTTTTAGTAATGTACAATAAGTATATTTTTAATTTGGATTTGCAAAATAGTAATTATATATTTAATATTTATGAATTTTGATCAAAATTACAAGTACAAAATTATTATTTTGTATGAACATTGATATATATGACAACACATATCTTACAAGTATCGTATCCTATATATTTTAAAATAAGCGTATCGCCGTATCGGATACGTGTCGTATCCGATACGCGTATCGTATCGGTGCATCGTAGCTCATTGGTCATAATGATTTTGTTTACTGTTATGCTGCCTTTGCCTATGAAGATGTAAACATATAATTCACTTCTGGTTGATATGTAATTTTGCTTTCCTGTAACCCATTTGCAGGCAACTGGTGCCAGACCATATTCGGGGAAAGTTGGAGCAGATGATGTAGATAAAGTTGACATGGCATACAGGGTTGTTGCAGATCACATAAGAACTCTTTCCTTTGCCATTGCTGATGGGTCTCGTCCTGGTACTATATTGTAGACCTGGTTTCTTTATTGGCATTTTTTTCCTTCATGAGTCACAAATTTTAACTCCAAGTGTCATCAAGTTTGTTGTCTTTTACCCTCACTTCTTGAGGGTGGCCTGTTCTTTATAGACTGGGTTGTACGCTATTGGGGGCTGCACTAAGAAAATAAATTCCCTTAATTCCCTTATTTAGAACCTCTTTTGGGTGGTTCTTAGTTGTAAGTTTCTATAATTTCAAAAACTACAACCAAATTTTAGTTTTAGTTTTGTTCCCCTGGTTTTTAGTTTCAAAATAGAATTACTTTGAAATTTTCCTATCCTATTAAGATTAGTTTAAGGGTGTGCCTGTGTGGTGGTAGTGACGGTGATAGTAGTAGTGGTGGTGATTGTAATGTCACCGGCAGCATTTGCGGCAATGGGAAGAGTTGTTGTCAAATATAGTGAGAATGTTTGTTTAAAAACTAAAACCAAATTTGCAACTTTTTTCTTGGTTTTGAGAATGAATATAAAAGTATTTTGACATTAAATTAAATATCATTTCATCTCCATTTTAGCTAAATGCGTTTTGTTTTGAAAATTGCATTTGTAAACCAAAAACCATTAACTTACCTTTCCAAACGGACCCAGGCTTTTGATTTTTAGATTTTTATTTATCTGTAATATAAGTTCTAATACATTTTGTTTGTGCGGACATTATTGAACTCCCTCCTTTAAAAATAAGGAGTTCCACTTTTTGATTAGGTTGTATTTTTTTCTTTTTGAAGGTAACGAAGGCCGTGAGTATGTTCTGCGACGTATACTCCGTCGGGCTGTTCGTTATGGACGTGAAGTTCTAAAAGCGAAGGAGGGATTTTTCAATGGGTATGTATAGTGGTTAGCAACTTTAACCTGTTGCCTGAAGCTTGATCTAAGGCTTTGTTGTCAGATTCAACATCCCAGTGCCATAGGGATAATAAAACTTACATTTTTGTGTGTTTGAGTAGTTAGGTTAGCTTATAGTTCAGCTATATTGCATGTTTAACTTTAAATGACAGCCTGACAAGTTGTCATAACAACCAGTTGTTGGTTTTTTTGTTATAAGTTGTCAGATTCTGTTAGATGGTTAGGGAAGGTACAATTAACTATATACATATGTCTTAACTCTTTAGGGGTAATTGGTTCATTTTTGTATTGAATTTAGTCTGGACTCAACTTGTATATTCCCTATTTTCTCTCTGTTCTCTAATGTACTTTTCTTTTATTTTCTATGACTTTCTACCTCAATGAATTCTTTCAACTTGATTTTTCAAAACTGATGTACTTTTTTTAAAAAAATTGTTATCGAGTCATTTCACAGGTGATTCCAGTCATGTATGAATGTGTGAACATACATTCTGTTTGTAATATGATTTTCTGTCCTATTTTTACTGAATCCAGGCTTGTAAATGTTGTGGTAAACGTGATGGGCGATGTTTTCCCTGAGCTAAAACAACAGGAAACGCAGATTCGAAATGTAATTGAAGAGGAGGAGGAAAGTTTTGGAAGAACCTTAATTAAGGTGACAATAGTCTTGTACTTATGTATCTTTATGTGTTGTGTCACTTATCAATCTTAATGGCATAATGATAGCCATCCCTCAAATTAGTTTTGTTGTAAACTTGATACGTTGCTCTTTGGATGTTTTTGTCATTTTTCTTTGACTAAATTATTCTTTTGGTCTCTCAATTTAATAATTTATTCGCTTGGATCATTCTATTATTAAAATGTTCAATTTGGTCGCTTAATTTTTTAAAACCATGCAATCTGGTTCTTTCTGTTTAGTTGAAACTAACAATGCTAATTTCTTTTACACAGCATACATGTCATTATCTTATTGTGTCACATGTACAAGAAGTTAATATTGTTAGTCTCAATTAGAAGGAAAGGACCACATTGCATATTTTTAGAAAATCAAAGGACCAAATTGAACCTTTTAAAAATAGAGACCAAATTGAATAAATTACATAAAATAAGGGATAACAGAGTAATTTTAACCCTTTTCTTTTCTTATTATTATATTATAAAGGATGAAAGAAAAGCTGATTGTTTTTACTTCTCCAGGGAATTGAGAAATTTGAGACAGCTGTTCGACATGTTCAAGGAAAGATACTGAGTGGGGAGGCAAGTGGAATATGTTATTTTCAGTTATTTAAGAGTCATATTGACTTGTTTTTATTACTGTTTTTACTATTTCCAGCTACTTACCCCCCCCTCCCCTTTCTTAGGTTCCTGCAAGTATATACAGACAATATTTAATATTTAAACAAACAATTAAGCTTATGAAATTTCTCTTGTATCTGCTTTTTTTTTTCTTCTTTTGTTATTTATTTTCAACTGTCTTTGGGAAGTCATTTAAATGAGATTCTCTTCATTTCAAGGAAATAAAATACTACATTTGAACTTGTGATGTTTTTATCAAGAACCATTAATTTCAAATATTTCATCATAATGATCAGTTGTTCACAAAGTTGCAGTTAAATCATATTTGTAGTACTGCATGCTTACATGTGTTTTGAATTGTTGATTCCCTCATGTAATTATAGTTATAATATATAATATAGTTCAATATATTATTTCCAAGTTGTTTTTGGATTGGCATATGGGTTATTTCTCATGCAGTTGTCTCTTGATTATAGGAAGCATTTGTTTTGTGGGATACATATGGGTTCCCATTAGACCTCACACAGGTAGGTGGATTGCTTCACTATAATGCTGTATGGAACTATTAGTCTATATTTTGTGTCTTTTTTAATTTTATTTATTTCCTTAAATTTTCTATGTATCAGCTGATGGCTGAAGAAAAAGGACTAGTTGTTGATGTCAAAGGTTTCGATAATGCTATGGAAGCTGCAAGAGAGAGATCCAGAAGTGCTCAAACAAAGGTATCTTATTTGCTTTAATCCAAGTTTCTTATGTATTTTTAAGAAACCCAATATATTTAAAGGATAAACAAAACTGTGACTGGTATTAACACCGATTTATTATTCTTTCTTTTTTTCTGCTTCTCTTTTAACTTTCTTTTTGTTATTGTCAGCAAGCTGGTGGTGCCATTGTCATGGATGCTGATGCAACGTCCTCATTGCACAAAAGGGGCATTGCCCCAACAGATGATAGCTTCAAATATACTTGGTTCAAGGTATTTTTTTTGGTAATAAAATATGAATTTGTATTCATAAGAATGACTTAAGATTGGATATGAAATCTTTGATTAGGAAATGATGAATTTTTTTTAAAAGAAAATTTATGATTACCCATTTAAGTTATGATTCTTGAAAATTGATATTAGGTATAGGATATGTATAGAAGATGATAATATACAAAATTGTGTTTTTTCAAGTAAATATAATAAATAAAACTGCAACTATCCAAGTGATACATAGATACATATATATGCGTGAACTACTTGTAAACTATTAATCAATTTGTTTACCTAAACAAGCGTACCTATAATCATTTAATGAGTTGAGATTCAATAATTTATGAATAACTTAATTTACTCCCCTACTATTAAATAGAAGAGTTTCTACTATTCCTTCTCATCCACCACACCTTTTACTTCTTTGCTCAAACTTGATATTTTGATGGTTTGCATCTTTCTAACTTACAAACTGTGGAAGGGGGACACAACAAAGAAGACATTAATTTTTGGTTATTGGTTGAGCAGCCGAATTAGACATTTTCACTCTGTTTATGCACTTGATATTCTTTTGGAATCAGCTTCTATGCCTTCCATTAATTTCTCTTCTTCACCATTTCATGTCATAGGACCATGAAACTGTGGTAAAAGCAATATATATGGGTTCTGAGTTTGTTGATACTGTTAATACTGGTGATGATATTGGTGTAGTTCTTGAATCTACAAGCTTTTATGCTGAGCAAGGTGGTCAGGTACCAAACCAAGCCTTATAAATAATTAATATGTTGTTTCTCATTATAGTTTTATTTGCCTCAAAAAACTGTTTAGTAATAGTTTCACTTTTAGCCAGTTAATACAATCAAGTTGCTGGAACATTTTTCTTTAATTTTTTTGAACTATCAGCTTCTTTTCCAATTTTTTGTTTATATGTTTGTAGTTGCAATTCAGCATGCTTGCAATTCTACTTCTGTTCATAAAGTTAATCAACCAGTTTTACTAACATATGTGTAGTATATCTTGCATAAAATGCCATAAAACAAGTAGCTTGTTGATAGCATGCCAAATTCTTTAAATGGTAAAGTATAGGTGTTGGTGTTAGCCTTTTATTTCCCCATCTATATTAAAAGTGGCAAAGATAATTTATAGCATTGTACTTTCTTATATTAAGAAACTGAACTAATTGTATGAGTGCACATCGTAACTAGGATACTTGCTGGCTATTCATATCCATTACCTCACTTCTACGAGGTAAAATTTTTATTATTTGAAACTTTAATCCTAGATGAAATTAAGTAATGTATGATACTGTTTAGAATATTTTGTGTGCAAGTTTTTTACAAAGATGTCTTTCAAACTGAAAGATTATATCAATAAGTTCAATGTAACTAATTGAAAGCAAAAAAATTCATAGTGATTAAACTAGAAGAGAATAATGGTCATACAGGACTTTTTTTTTTTCTAATGGTGAACATTAGACTGTTAGAGTACAAGATGGTCTGAATTATAATGTACAAAATATGGAACATTGATATATTTTGCCTATGGGAATTATCAAGCAAATGGGCCATATGCCTGGACTCGGACAAACTACGATTACATGAAAATGGGGACCCTAAGTAAAATATTCTATCCTGTGAATTTGTTAGTATTATGTATGTGATGCAATTTTTTTTAAATATGTAGATATTTGATACTGGATCACTTGATGGTCCACTTGCTTCATTTGAAGTTCGTAATGTTCAAGTTTATGGAGGCTTTGTTCTTCACATTGGTAATGGGACTGGTATCTCTGTTGGCGACAAAGTAGTATGCAAGGTATTTTTTTTTTAACTATTATTGATTTCTTCAAGAGTCTAAATTATCCTTTCTTATTTGCACCCTTTGCCCTGTTTTACATCAAATACCTTGTTTTTTTTTTGTTATCTTTCAGTACCTTTTAGTGCTTTGTATTCCTCCTTGTTTATTTTCTGTATACTTTTGTAGGTTGATTATGGAAGACGTGCCATTATAGCCCCTAACCATACCTGCACGCACATGTTAAATTTTGCTCTTAGGGTATGTTTAAAATGCTACTGAATGTGTTGAAGACTTATTCATTCCCCTTACTGATCTGTGTTTGTTGAAATTTCCTATGATGAATGCAGGAAGTACTAGGGGATCATGTTGACCAGAAAGGTTCCATTGTTCTTCCTGAAAAATTGAGATTTGATTTTTCTCATGGTAAGACTTGTTCAATTGGACTGTTAGAATAATGTGAGTGTAGAGAGTTATTGTTTACTATGCTGCAATGAATAGGCAAGCCTGTTGATGCTGACAATTTAAGGAGAATTGAATCAATTGTTAACGAGCAAATTAAAGCTGAATTGGATGTAAGTGCAAAAGAGGTAACTCTTGCTGAAGCCAAGCGTATCAATGGTTTGCGAGCTGTTTTTGGAGAAGTAAGTAATTTAGTTCCCTATTCTTTCTTGTTGCGTTCTGGATCATGTTGCCCAATATTCTGCTTTGATATAGGTCTATCCAGATCCTGTTAGAGTTGTGTCTATTGGACAAAAAGTTGAGGATCTCCTTTCTGACCCCGGGAATGAAAAATGGTTATCTATATCTTCAGAATTATGCGGAGGTATATCATAGCTAATGCTTCCTTTGAAGCTTTCTTTCTGTATTTCTATTCGAGGTTCCTCATTTTTAGCTGATGATCTAGGCACCCATATTTCAAACACACGAGAGGCAAAAGCTTTTGCACTTTTATCTGAGGAGGGAATTGCAAAAGGCATCCGCAGAATAACAGCTGTCACAACTGATCGTGCTTATGATGCAATTAAAGTGGCTGATGAATTCGAGCAGCAAGTAGATGATGCGGCTAAATTAGAAAGAGGTTTGCTTGAAGAGGTTGGTGTTTGGGTTTCTGTTCAACTAAAATTTTATAGCATTAGGGTTACACTTTTTCCATTCTATTTTAATTAGTTGGCCAGTTCAACAGGTTGAAATGTCTGGCTCTGTTAACAGCTAATGACTGAAGATGGATAAAACAATTAATATATGACTGGCTGTGCTAGCTGCCAAATTAGACCTTATAATTGCTTATTATAAAGGATATGTATCAAACTAACAGTTGAGCTTATAAAAATTCCCAGTTTTATAAAGGCCTAAAAGAGTCTATTCAATATATTTGAGAGTATGAACTATGAAAATACTTGTAATCATGATCATGAAGTCTTGATCAAATTATTAAACTAATGGAATAACCACTAACTACATTTGTTACAAATTGAAAGTTCCTTCCTTTTTGGCCTCGGGGAAGATGGAAATTTGAGCTGCTAGAATGGGTACCGGACTGGGTTTTATTGTATTACAATAGTTGCATTTTTTTTGTCTCTTTTAATGCTAGCTAGAATATGTATTTGATACTGATTTGTGTGGGATGGTTCTCCATTTGAATCACTTGAACTTTAGTGTTATCTGAACATATATATACATAGCTGGGAGCCTATTAGCTGAAGTTAGTGCATGCTCTCTCATAGGATTCTCTCTTGCTCTCCTTTTCTCTTTGTTATCAACACTGATTTTCTCAGCAGATAGATGATATATATACAACTCTCTTCCAAAATTGTAATCAGTTGATTTTCTGTTTCCCTTAACAGAAAGTTTCATCATTGAAAAGCAATGTTGAAACTTTATCAATTCCTGCTCCCAAGAACTCTCTTCCAAAATTGTAATCAGTTGATTTTCTGTTTCCCTTAACAGAAAGTTTCATCATTGAAAAGCAATGTTGAAACTTTATCAATTCCTGCTGCCAAGAAAGCTGACATCAAGACCAAGATAGCCCAGCTTCAGGTATTATATATATGTGGAAAAAATTTGCAGACCTTTTGCCTTTTCCACTTTTCCACTGTTTGTTTTTGTTTGTTGTCCTTCAATTTCTCATGCATTTAGTCTTATAATGTAATAATATCACATATCTTGTAGGATCAAGTGAGAAAAGCACAAAAGCAGGTTGCTGAGGAAAATAAGCGTAAAGCTGTAACGATTACAATTGAGAAGGCTGAACTTGCTGCTTCAAATGGGAAAACTTTTTGCATATCTCGTGTTGATGTTGGTCTGGATGTGGCTGCAGTTCGTGAGGCTGTTACCAAAGTCGTGGACCAGAAGGTAATTGCTGATTATTAATTTATCAAATCTTTCTGGGCCTCTGGAGCTCCAACTTAGTGGTCGAGTATACTTGAAGAGATTACTTGTCCTTGGCATTTACATTTTCTGTTACCTTCAAGCACTAACTTTTACTGATGCTGGTTGATAAACAGGGCTTATCTGTGATGGTTTTTAGCACAGATGAAGCTACAAACAAGGCTGTAGTTTGTGCTGGGGTGCCAGAAAAAGGAGATAAAGGTAAGCTGGACGTGGGAGAGTGGCTGAGTAATTCTTTGGGGCCTCTAAAAGGGAGATGTGGCAAGGGAAAAGGTGGTCTTGCAACGGGACAGGTTAGTTATTGACATTACCTTAATTTCTGGACAGAAGTAGCTTTAATTTTTATAAATATTAAAATTATTGTATAGGAATTTTCAAATCTGTATATTTCACATATACTTTGTCCAATATTTAATGTCATTTAATCATGAGAGTTAGTGGTTTGAGGATTTTGCTAATGGGTCACTTGTAGTGTTGCTTTAAAAAAGGGGGAAGGGAGGAATTTAGTGTTTTTTAAAATTTAAATTTTTTTTTACAAAGCTCCCAAGAAACCTTTCATTTTCTAATATTTTAGTAATCTGGGATCCAGGAGAATCTTCCATATGCCATGGCTTTTAATCTTATGTTTAATTATGAACTGTGTGGTCATAAAATTGTTGTTATATCTTAAACTGGTTTTCAACAATCCTACGAGCTATTGAAATTTGTTAATTTACAAAGTTCAGAAATGTTACGTTGAAACTTCGTTCATGTACTCTACGTAAATTTAAATTGATGTTATTCTTATTTGGTGCAGATTTTTATTTGAATTGATCTTATGTGATGTCAGATAAATTTTGTTAAGCTCGGTTACTCTTTTAAAATTTCTTATTTAGAAAAGTGGGAAGGGAAAAGATAAATAATGAAACTTTTTGTTGAATTTGTTGACTTAAAAACTGGCCAAACAAAACTAGTTTTTGATAATTATAGTGACAGCAAAAAACACCATTTTAAAACTCAGATATTATTACGGAGCTACCTGGTTTATGTCGGCATGTGGGCATCTCATTCTTTTATCTAGTTTGTAATGCTTTTGACCAAATTGATTTTAGTCATTTTGAATTTTCTATGACATTGACCATAAACACTAGGGAATATTTAATACGATTGAAGAAAATGTTCATCAGTACTGTATGCGTTGTGCGTTTTTACTTCATATACTGATTTGTGCACGCACTTCCATTTTCCAGGGTACAGATGCATCACATGTAAACGAGGCTATTGATCTTGCAGAAAACTTTGCGTCAATGAAATTGAGTTAATAATTGTGTAACATGATACAGTGGATTTTCGTTTGGTATAATCATACAGAAGGGAAGGGCACTTGGAAGTAATTATTAGATCCCGGATGAGTTGAACAAATTTCTAATTTAGTGCCTGAATATTCTTTTGATACATATTAGTTTTTTGGTTTATAAAGATCACAAATTGTTCCACAATACAGTTGCAATTACTCTGATAGATTATCAACATGTGAAATTTTAAATTGTGACCATTTCGAAAGCATTTATTTGTTTTGATTGTTTATGTACCGGTGGATTTCATTTTCATTTTTTAGACAAATAAATTATAAACGAATAGCAAGTAAATAGTGTTTTTTTTACCCTTGGTCGGTAGTATAAATGATTTAATAATGATTGGAATTAGATTTTTTGTTTGGCTTGTGATCGAGAATATTATTTTTCAATAGATAAAGAATTTTCAGTTATATAATTTTACATTCATAGTTCTATTTAAGGTTGGTAATAGGGCGGGGTAGATATTTACTTAGTATCTATGATTTTTTCATATATTTGCTGTTTGTAGGTATTTATTCAAATGTGAAATTTTAAAAACGTAAGAATCTGATTAAAAAAAGTAAGAAATAAAATAAAAAAATTATAATTTTTAAACATATATTTATATTAAAAAAATTGTAAGATTTATTTGTATTAAAATAGATAATAAGTAATTATGACACTTATAAAAATTAATTAAATCAAATTAACATTTGCATCTATTTACATCCTATGTCGTGTTTTATATGTGACTAAATGTTAGTATTATTTTTTTTTTGTTATCTTCAGTTGTGTTAGTTTACTAACATAAATATATTCTGAAGGACATTTTGATCTTTCATTTTATTATAAAAGTCGTTTTTATCTTTTTAAATTTGTATTTTGATCTTCTAATTTTTAAATTTGAGTTAATCTTATCTTTCATGAAAATGATTATTTTTTAGGGATGCAACTTGACATTATTTTATTAATTTTGTAAGATAAAACTTATATCATTAGATTTAGATAAAACTCCTTGGGAAGTTAGTCTGGGATCTGCTGACGGCGTCACAGGAGCCCTGGGTTCAAATCCTCAGTAGTTTATACCTACACGAAAATTCTATCTTGTGTGCCTAGAACAGGCGGGGTGCTTCTCCAATCTGGTCAAGTCTTGTTAAGGCCCTCCCTTCTCTTCGAGAGAGTTTCGAGCCTCGGCTAGGATCGGGTGCCTCATCCCTTTGGTACACGGACTGGTCAGGTACTGGGCTTTGGTGCGAGAGAGTCCCGTTCGTTCACGTTGCGGACATCAATAAAACGGTTGCCGACTGCTGGGCTAGTGGAGTTTGGAACTTTACTAACTTGCATACTGTTCTTCCGGCGGAGCTGTCAAGTTCGGTCCATAGGTTGAGTGTCGTCAATTCCTCTTTGTGGCTGATCACTTTGTCTGGAGGGGTGATAATTCGGGTTGTTATGCAGCGGCCTCGGGATATCGATTTATGACCACGGTCCTGTCGACAGAGGGGGATGTAGTTTGGAAGAAGGTCTGGAAGTTATTGATCCCAGAGAAGGTTAAGTTCTTTCTGTGCAATGCCTTCATTCAGCCCTTCCAACGAACCAGGTTCAGGCTGATAGGAGGCTCACTGAGTCCGGTGCATGCTCGCGTTGTTCTTGCCCTCAAGAAACTATCCTACATGCACTTCGTGATTGCCCGTACTCGCGAGAGGTGCTGATGGCTGGCGGGATCAGTACGGGGTGGTTCTTCTTAGAGAGGGATTGTTTTCAGTGGCTAAAGGGGATTATTCTACATACGGATGTTATTAAGCTATCCATCACCTTGTGGTGGGTTTGGCGGTTTAGAAATAACATGTTGTTCAACGGCGAGCTTTGGACAATTTCGGCAGTCCGTAGGAAGGTGACACTGTCTACGGTGGAGAATAGTGTGTATAATGCTAAGAGGCGCTTGTGGACGGAGCAACCTTTATGGAGACCTCCGGAGCATCCGTGGGTCAAACTTAACACGGACGGGAGTTGGTTGAGGGACATTGCAGCTATGGGGATGGGTGGAGTAATTCGTGAGTGTGCAGGTATGTGGCGGGGTGGATTCTCATGTGGAGCGTTGACTGGGGATGCGTTACGTGCTGAACTATTAGCTTTGGACGCTGGCTTATCGCTTTGCTGGGAAGGTGGGTTTCGGAAGGTGAGTTGCGAATGTGATTGCTTGGAAGCTGTTATGCCGTTTCAAGATCGATCAACGGATAGGGACTACTTGCACAACCATTATGATGTTATTCGTCGTATTAGGTGCCTGCTAGCCCGGGACTGGGTAGTTTACGTTAATCTTATCCCTATAGAGATAAACTCAGTAGCCCATACGCTTGCCAACTGGGGGGTACGGAACACGAGTTCTAATGTAGTTTGGAGGAGTCCTCCTGATTTTATCCTGTTTCCGCTTGGAAGAGACTCTATGTCTTGATTTGTCTGTTATTTTTACTTTCATTCTTTACCAAAAAAAAGATTTAGTTGTTATATGAGGTTATAAAATTCAACTAATGTTTGATTAAATAAAGACTAAAAATTTGATGAAAATTGTGTCCAAATTAAGTCTTGTACGGAAAAAATATCATATTTTTTTAGTTGCTAATGAGACTCAACTTTTACACAATATCTTTTAAAAAAAACTAATATCTTTGCTAACATGGACGTTGACATTTATTGAATTTTATAGTTTTGTGAATTTAATGTAATTATTTTACATTTTGAATTAGTAGAAAATAATGTAAAATTATATCTTAAAATTGAAAATAATTAGTCAAAATAATATTAACTCAATTTTAGAAGTTGAAAATTGAAATAAATATTTTAAAAAATAAAAGATCAAAATGAATTTTCATAATAAAAATAAAAAACAAAAAAAAATATATTTTAGCCTAAATAACACATAATCTTGATTTTGATTTGATGGATGCATGGGATATGGGATGAAGAGGGCCCACCCGGGTAACTTTCAAATTGGAGGCAAAAATCAGACGAGCTATAAATAGGGTTGAAACATGATTATACGAGTGAGAAACCAACGCAAACACCGAGAGTCCAAGAGCTGGAAAGCAGCGTCTGAATTCGATGGCGAAAGAGGGAAGCGACATTGATGAAGTGAACGACGCAATGGAAGGCGCGGGAGAAGAAGAAGAGGAAGAAAACGCGGCACAGGAGGAAGGTGACATGGAAGAAGAAGACGAGGAGTATACTTTCAGGTTCAAAAATGGCATGAATCCATTGGACTTCATCGATAACAATGATTCCGGCGTTCAAACCTACCAGCGATTCGAGCGTCTTGAACAGGAAGCCCTCGCCGATAAAAAACGAAAAGCAACTGATCAATGCGAGAGGTTAGTTTGTTCAACCCTAATTCCGATGCATTGTTTGTTTCTGTCTAATTGCTGCATTTGTTGTGTTAATTACTTATGTAATCCAACTTTTGAACTTCGCGCGTGCGCTGTTTTTGCAGTCGTTGCGGTGAATTGCTCTATTTATTTTCAAACTCCTGTTTAGTTATACTTTAAGTGCCCCTGAAGTGGGTGCAACTATGTATTGTTGATTTATTGATTCAGTACTGTGATGTGCAACTAAGAGTGTTGCAATTAGCAGTGTTCAAATCCAATATATTATAATAGTTTAATCTAAGTTTTAACTAAATACATTAATATTTATTAATAATAAGAAGTTTATATTTAGAATAGTAAAGAAGTAACAAATATTTTAGATTGATTTTATTTTTTAAAAATATATTAAAAAATTGTTGACTTGCTGTAAACCAATTTTTTGACAAGCCGGTTATGTGTTCCAATTGAACCGGTCTGGTTTTTAAAACAAACAAAGTTAGGCACATGAATAGAAACGGTAATTGGAGAAATGCTTCTCAACACAACACATTGTCACTTACTGGTTGTTGCTTGAAATTTATTGGAAATTTTGTGGGTGCCAAAATTTATTGGATGAACTTTTTTCCTAATTTTGTAATTTTCAATAAATTTTAACCAATACGAAAGACTTGTTATGAAATGTGTTCTTAGCATTGCTCATTATAATAAATAAGGTTGTTAGTTAGTGGTAAACTGCATTTTGACAGCAAAGGAAAATGTTGTACGAACAAGAAGTGAGAGCAAAATTATGGAAGGTTGAATATCTCCAAAACAGAAAAATCCCAACCCTACAAGAAATATGACATAAAAGTTCAATAGGCTACTGAAGATTAATCTTGATTTTGACTTCAGATGCTCCTAGTGCTGAACAGTTTTAAATGTATCACATGAGGACAAAAACCTCACCACGGTCACTTACTTCTAGATGTTTGTTTGACTCATTGTATTTTATGTCTCTAAATGCAGTGAAGGACCACCTTCTAAGATGGCCAGGGAAGATGATATTTCTGGGGTAAAGATAGCTGAGATAATGGAAGCAATGAATTATTATGGTGTTCGCAAGAGATCGAGAAAGGTATGCTATGCATATGATTGGTTTTAGTCTCTTTATATATTACTTCGTGTCTCTATGTATTAAAAATTAAAATGTAAAAAAAACAGAAGAAAATGGACTTAGTTTTAATACACGTATTGCAACAATTACAATGTAAAGAGAGTAGACTCGATTTAAATTGTTGTGTTTACAAATTAATTTTGGTTTTATTTAAAGGAGAGCTTTGATTTTTAAAAGAGAGTGTAGGAATGAAAAATAAGGGTATTGAAAATTAAAGGGTAAATATGTCCTTAGAAAAATGAAAACCAAAAAATGGTATTCTTTTTTATCTCTTTTATAGATTATAGATTTTAGATTAGTCAGAAATAAATATTTCGTGTCTCTCTATTTTTTAAAAATAAAAGTAAATAAAAAGAAGATTAATTGATTCAAAGAGGGTGAGTGGTTATGATGTGAAGGACTAAAAAGTCTTGATTTTATGGATTTTTCTTTTTTATTCTTAGCAATTAAGGGGTAGAATGGTCTAATAAAAAGTGTAGGCAATACGGTTATTGAGGAAAGTATTCATTATATATAGTATAGATAAAAGTAATTAAAAAGGAAATGATTGATTCAAAGAGGGTGAGGGGTTATGATGTGAAGGACTAAAAGTCTTGATTTTCTAGATTTTTCTTTTTAATTCTTTAACAATAAAGGGGTAGAATATTTTAATTAAAAGTGGAGAGCAAAATGGTTATGAAGGGAAGTATTCCCTTTATATATAGTATCCATATAAATGTTAGCAATATGTCTGATTGTCTCTATTGTAAGCTTTAGAAGATAAATTGGTAGTTTGTCATCATGTCTGAGTCCAAAGTATATTTAAATTCATTTCTTATAATTTTTTTCTACACAAGCAAGGACTACCCTGAAATGAAGTTGTTAGCCCTCCTTTATTTTTTTAATCTCCATAATTTACTTAAGTCTCTTAATATATTTTGTTAGCAGTTAGTATGTTCATATGCAAAGACAACCCTGAAAGAAGTTGATAACCTTCTGTTAATGCATTTCAAAAAAGGTAGATTACAGTTTTTGGTCTCCAGCAATGGAATGGACATCAGAGGAATACATTTGACTTGGTGTTATGGTTTTTTGGAACAAAATTGAAGTTGTGTTCATACCTATTGCATTTTTTGCTCTTAGCTGTTTCTAAAGAGTTTTCATTTTTTATATGCAGGGTAGCTTTGTAGCATTCTGATATTTCCCCTTATTCCATTTTTTTTTCATGAATTTTCTGCTCTTTACGTCATAGGCTTCTCACTAGTTTAATTCTGCACCACTTTTTTGCATGCTTTTTGTCTTTTATTTTCTTATACATATAATACCCTTAGCCTGGAATGGATGCTGATGGAAGTGTAAAAAAATAAGCATTCAGTTGCACATTATGTAACAAACTCTGTTTAATGTAACTTACATGACACCTTTTGAATATTTTGTATCTGCCGGATACAGGTTAAAAAAAGAGGCAGGCGAAAAGGATCAAAGAATAAACTTGACCCTAAGCTAACACGAATGCTGGGCGATGCCACACTTCACTATGCATGTGGCCATTATGACAAGGTACCTTATTCTGTAATGTGACACTCCTTAGGTTCTGGCACTGGAGTTTGCTAGTGTTTACTGTCACAGTTCTATAGCTCATCTAAGAAACAAATGGTGGATAAATAAGTCATCTTAAATAAGCTACCCTGTTATTTTGCTCAAAATCTTCCTATTTTTGGATAAGAGTTAAGCAAATCCATGTTCATAAAGTTGATGATGTATTTACCCTCACTCATTTGTGATCTGGCTAATACTGTATGTCTTGCTTTTCTAAGAGACATGGTTGCCACCAGCAGAAACTCAGTAGCTGGAAGTTGCATTCCTGTTTATTGAGATGCTTTCTAACATTACCCATTTCTAATTGTCTCAACTATGATAGATGGGTGTTTAATCTCTTCTGATTCTTTTCAATTGCTCATTAGCTGAGTGTTTAATCTTTTCTGATTCTGATTGTTTTTTGCATCTGTTTAACTTGATATGTATTTTAGATTTTACTGTTGTTTTAAGTTTTTGCGGATTAGTTATGCATTCCTTTTCTCTGTTGGCTTTTTGCAGGCTAAAGCTGTGTTGCTTGAAGTTGTTAGGCTGGCACCAAATTTACCTGATTCGTATCACACCCTTGGACTTGTCTATAGTTCACTCCAGGATTATAAAAGAGCCATGGGTTTTTACATGATCGCTGCTCACTTGACTCCAAAAGATTCATCTCTTTGGAAAATGATTTTTACCTGGTCCATGTGAGATGGCTCCAAAGTTTTGTTGCCACTGTTATTTTTGTCAAATTATTCCTCTGGAACAATTTGGCTGCATTAATTTGTATTCCTACTCTAATTGTGAAAGAGGATTGATCTGCATCAAGTAATATTATCCTTAAAATAAATGACCCATCCATGCAGTGTATTAATGGAGAATATGGTTCATAATTAACTTCATATTGTATTCCAAAATACCTTTCCACTATTTTTTTTCTCATTTTCCTTGGAGTTTGTTATTGTTTCTAATAATACCAAGGTCATGCATGTATTGATTTTAAACAATGCTGAAAGAAATAGTATAATTACTGAGAAGAGAACCTTTTTCAAATGCAGAGAACAAGGTTATATTGGTCAGGCCCGTCATTGTCTTTTAAAAGCAATAACAGCAGATCCCAAAGATGCTACTCTTAGAGGTCATCTTGCAAGGCTTTATGTTGAACTTGGAGATTATCAAAAAGCTGCTGTGGCATATGAGCAAGCATACCAACTTTGTTGTGAGAATGTTGATGCACTGAAAGCAGCTGCTAAGGTTTGGTTTTTTGCTTTGAGACACATGAAGATGCTTATAATTTTCTCTGATTTCAATCCTTTGCTATTGTATTTTTTTTTTTGTTAATAACTATTTTCATATGAAAATCATGATTTGCCTTTTTGATGCGTAATAATGCATGTATCTGCATCTGCTTGTATGTCATATGGCCTGTATTGGAGGAGCTAACATCTTTGACATGAGAAACGGGTGCATATAAAATATGATGTTTGAGAGGGTAAAATTCAAATTATTTTATTTTTCCAAAATGATTTACATGCCAAAGTAGAAGGTTTGAGGAATTGATAATATTTCATTTTGATTCAATTAAAAATTGTGATTGGCTTTCAATATTGAATTGAATTTGTAATTCTTTCTATTAGTTCTACAAAATATGTGGTCAAGTTGAATACTCTGTTCGCATTCTTGAAGACTATCTTAAGAGTCAACCTGACGGAGCAAATGCAGGCGTAGTTAATCTGCTGGGTACCATATTGATGGAAACTAAGGCACATGACAGAGCTCTGCAGTATATTGAACGTGCTCAGGTGGTAAATGCGGAGAAAGAATTGCCTTTAAATTTGAAAATTAAGGCCGGAATTTGTCATCTTCATCTCGGAAACATGGAGATGGCTCAGGTGCGTTGCATGCATATATAATTAACTGTTTTACTTGATCATTGTCAAATTTCATCTTGCTTGCTTGAACCTCAGATATGATGTTAAGGTTTATTGACATTCAATGGCATCTATGAATGAGTATTTAGTTGAGACTTCCTTAGTTAGGTTTCTTTGATTTTTCCTCTTTCATTTTTGTGTATTCTTTCCCATTTCCTAATCAATTTATGGGTAACAACCATTGTAACCTGTTCATCATAATATCTCCATCCATTTAATATATCTCTTTTGAAGTTTGATTTTTGACTGAGGACCGCAAGTAACTTTAGCTGATTTTGTGTGTTTTGGAGATTTTTGTCCTTTTGTCTCTTGTTTTTAAAAGAAAAAAGTAGACTTCTACTCCTCTATTATATCATTTTTTTTATAAAATACCTTATTTTCTTTCCTGAAACTAAGAAGAAAAAAAAGTTCAGGCTCTTACTCTTTGTACAGCTGTACAACTCTTGTGGCCCACCTCTTAAAGCACAGTATATCATTATTTTTTGGTAACATTTTCCTTGTTTCTCATTAGCTTAATTTAATACAATGTTGAAGTGCAACTAGATGTGTCTAAGACATGCAATGGCAATGTATGAATCTTTCTTTTGACATCGCATTCATTTGTATGTATTAATTAATATTTCATTTAATTACCAGGTTCTCTTCAATGATTTGAAACCAGAGAATGCAAGCAACCATAGTGACTTGGTTACTGAGGTTGCAGACTCATTAGTGGGTCTTGAACATTATAATTCTGCTTTGAATTATTATCTGATGTTGGAACGAAATAGTGGAAATGAAAATGTATGGTAACTCCTTCCTATTTATAGCAATTCTCTATTTAATTTTATTCCGGTAATTTGCCTGAGTAGTTGATTTAGTTTTTTATTTGTATAATCTGATGAGCTGTATATATTACATCTTTAAATGTTGTTAATATTTCTGTTAGAAATATAATATAAAACCACTGTGTTTACATAATGGCTTAAGCTTTTAGGATTGTTGATTTATAATATGGTATCAGAGCTTCTATGACCAAGTGTTCTAGAATTTGATCCTCATTGTCTGCATCTAGGAGGCACGGATACAAGATATGGATATGATTGCTGTGATTTGGTGCAAATCTTGTGTTATTTGTGTGTGGGTAATCCATCAAAGTTTGCTACTGGTTTTATTTTGGACACAGTGGAGGGAGTCAAGAATACTTTGTGTCATGTGTGTATCAATATGTAAATGGGAAGAAGCTGAGAGAAGGTCAGGAAAGTGATGTTAGGATTAACAGGTTGCAAACTTCTGGGAGTTGTCTAACAGCCACATTAGGGGTTTCTGAATGCTAGCTGTCAAAATTATGGTATAGTCATATAGATTGATGGATTATGCTTTGTTTTGTCATAATTAAATTTCATATTTCTGTTAGGTATTGAGTTTTCTGTACTTCTTACAAGCTGAAAGCTTGTGTTTACTGTGGCATATAAGTGATAATGATATGAAGTTTTTACGATATTATGAATGTTTTTACAGCCTTTTTGTTAGGGAAATGTAAAAGAGTTGAGATCTGGTTTAATAAATGTATTTTGCTTCTCATTTTTTTCTTTGGAATTTGTGAATATCATGCTTTTGCTGTTTGTTATTTCCTTTGTGTTTTTCCCACAACCTGTTTTGTTATTCTGCCAGACATCACTTGGATTGTTTATCTGAATCATGTGCAATTGTTTACTGTTTGCAATTTTATTTTATTTTTCTTTGGCTCTTTCTGGTTGTTGTGATACTATTTAGCAAGTTTATAAATATATTTTCAGTGTATGCATTTCATCATCATGATATTCTTATTGAACTTCTTTCTTGCAGGGTCTTCTGTATCTGAAAATTGCTAGATGTTATCTGTCCTTGAAAGAAAGGTCACAAGCAATTCTCTTTTTTTCTAAAGGCAAGATTTCATTTTCCATAACCATAGTATTTAGGTAAATGATACTTTGTGAAAAACCAGTTCCCCCTTGTTTTTCAATACCTGAAATATTTTATCCATCATTCCTTCTGGTTTTAAAGCTTCTGAGATGGATTTTTTGTCAAAATCTTTAAGTTTGGTTCCATCCTTTTTTTTTTCTTGCGGGAGTAGTTCTCTTAAGTATCATAGATTCAAGTCTGGCAGCTAAATTTCTCAGATGTATTTTGGCATGATTTTGTTTGTTAATCTTGAGTGATACACCTGCCTTAAGTGACATCTTGCCTATTTTGGCTTGTAAACTTTTTCATCCATCAGAACTTTCCCGAATGTCTTTGTAGTTTGCATTTTTCATTTATAGATTAATAGATATATTTTGAAAATTTTAAAATAATCTGATTTGGAAACTTGCTCATTGGCTTTTAGGATAGCTTTTCCATCCATATTTGCTTTTGATGATAGGTCTTTGTTTTTGTTTACTACTTGCATTTTTATTATTCACATTCCCTTGTTGCTAAATAAGATTTTGTTTCAGCCCTTAAAATGCTACAAGATGATGTTGATGCACGCATAAGTCTGGCTTCTCTTCTGCTTGAAGAGGGAAAAGAAGATGATGCCATTTCCTTGCTGTCTCCTCCAAAGGATTCTGGTACTTCCAGCATGTTTTCTTTCTTTGTGATTTAAGTTCTTTAATGGAGATTTTAATGTGAAATACATACAGACTCTGGAGAAGCGCATTCTGAAAAGTCAAATAGATGGTGGGTTGATGTAAGAATAAAACTGAAGCTCTGCAACATATATTGGAATAGAGGGACACTTGATGATTTTGTGGATGCACTTTTCCCTTTGATTCGTGAGTCATTGTATGTTGCAACTCTTCGACAAAAGGTAATATTCAAAAAGCTAAAAACTAAAAAGTGAGCTCTCTCTTTTTCACAGTCAAATACAAATACGTAGATGCTCATGGTTGCCTCTATGGATATGCATCTTGCTTGCTTTCAGAATGTTAATGTGATAAACTGCCTTATTTCAATTAGATCTTCAAAATTGATTTGTCTGTTGATTTGTTCTGTTCAAAAGGTTCAAATGGGGACTTGTCAAATCATAGCATTTTTTGTATATAAGGTCATGCAAGGGATGGTGTTTGTATTTAGGAGGAGGGGTGAGCATGGGTTGGATTTTTAAAACTCCAATCCATATCCAATTAAAGGGATTGGATTTAAAATCCATATCCATTTAATTGGATGAAATTGGTTTGGATTTTTCAATCCAATTTAAACTAGTTTATAGTTCAAAACTAATTTTATAACTAGTATTACACCATAAATCGATCTTTTAAGACTGATTTTAACAAAGTTATATGCTACAAAAATAAATTATTTGGTGACCATGTTTAGTCTAAAATATTTGTTTCTTTTAGATTTTACTAAAATAGGTTAGTTAAAAACAATACTTTAACAATAAAAGAATGAAAAAAATAAAACAAAAATAATAAAATTAAGAAAATGTGCAGTAAACTTTAAAATAGTGGGGTAGTTTTACAAATTAGTTTAAGGGTAAAAATGTATTTCAACAAATTAATTAAGGGGTACAAAGGTCCAAAAAATGTGGGCACCAAAATAAGGTATCCCCTTTATTAATGTTATAGATTATAGATAATAATATTTTGATTATTTAGGATAACAATAAGGGCTTTGGTAGCTGAACTGTAGAGCTAACAATGTTTCCCTTGATCCATAAAGATGACTTTGACTCATACGCACTTTTTTTTTTGTATACCCCTAAGATGGATATGTGTAATTAATATTGGTTTGGATATAATAACTGTCCACTAAAATTGGTTTGGACATAATAACCGTCCCATTAAAATGGATTTATAGTGGATCAGATTGCTGTGGATATGGATTGGTTTTTGGAAAACTGGATATTTTGCAGAGCTCTAGGAATCAACATCTGGTTAAGATTTCCTAAAAGATGTAGGTTGGAATTAAAGTTGTTTCCACTTGGATACCTGGTTCCTTCTTTTCTTTGTGCAGGTATAAGGAAGCTATGCTTTGATTGCATTCTGCTAGGATATATGAAAATATTCAATATTATCTTGATCATATATCAGATTATCTTTTATAATTAGTTTCTAAATTTCTTAGTTGGATTTTATGATCTTATCAGCAATATTGTAAGACAATGCATCAATCAGGTCCACATATTCTTTTAGTATTAAGTCTCTTTTCTCCCATCGATATCTAAAGCCCATAATTTCAACACATTCATGTAGTGTGCGGTTTATTTTGTTTTACAGTGTGTTTGGTTGTATACAAATGACCATATAATCAAGGGCATCTCTTTCCCCTTACATTTCTTGTGATAACATTGTGCTGATGTCCTATCTTTGTGCTTTGCTTGCGGTTTATTCAAGAGAATTTCTGTTGATATGTTTTTGAGGACCAATTGATCCAAGAGCTCTCTTTGGTGCTGGCTTAGGAGGGGTTCATATCAATATTATGTCATTCCATATGAAGGATGAGTTTTAAGCATGGTCGAATAACATTGTCTCCTTCAGACCTTGTTCTAGGCATCTAATATCATTAGAAGAATGAGTGTGTCTAAAAATATGTGAAAGATTGGTCAGCTTATTGTATAAGTTTTTGGCTGCAGACTCAAACAGTTTGTCTCTCTAAAAATAAGTGAAAGATTGGTCATCTTATTTTCATATATGAGGTCTTTTAAGTTGCTTTTTTCAATTTGTTTATAAATACTGTGAGATTTATTGTCCTCTTCCAAGTGTATTTTTTCCTGCTTCTATAATTATTTCTTGTTTTGCCATGAAAGAAAGTCAATACTCAACACAGGTCATCATTGGTTCTTGCTGTAGGGTAAATCAAAAAGGCGACTTTCCAAAAGAGATCTGGTTGAAAGGATTAAGGTACTGGAGGGTCCGGAAAAGGATAATGTATTTCGAGGATTCAGGCCAGTAGCTGCACCATCTGATCTGTGAGTGTTGTTTCTCACATATTGTAATCATTTTTTTAACTCTACTATGACATGTACAATTTGGGTACATTAACATTATGGGTGATCTATTATCTAATTCTCGAGTATGGAAAATTATAAATAAAATTGTGAGTTAGTGAGGTGATTAATGGTTATCGTGGGATTGATCATGGTTGATACATTGATGTTGATTAGTATTCGAATTGTGGGTAGATTGATAGATAACCATTCATCTATATAACCCCCCCCCCTCCCACCAAATTTCCTCTTCTATTTTTCACCAAATGCTCTGGTTAACATCATACATGTTATCTGTGTGCCATAGATCAATGGTCACTATTCTCTTTAAATCCTTTGCAGATATTACAGCAAAAATTTCATGGGGTATAATTTATCTAATTGTATGTTTTTGCATGCTGTTGAAATTTCTCTTATTTATGAAATTAGGTTGAAAGCTTCCAGGGCAAAAAAATTGCTCCAGAAGAAAGCAATCGAAAAGGAGAAAAGAAAAGCTGAGGCACTGGCCTCTGGATTTGACTGGCTAAGTGACGATTCAGATGATGAGCCTCAGGTAATTTGGTTTAGTGCTGTCTACTTCCGCTTATAGAATGAATGTCTTGATGATAACATGTTAACACCTTTTGTGTTTATTGCATGAGATGTTTTTAGAAAGAAAACAGAGAACCTCCCTTGTGTAATATTCTCAAAGATGAAGAACATCACCAGCTTATAATTGATGTTAGTGCTTCAATCTTTTTTTTTTTTTCTGCATCCCCTTTCCTCTGCAATGTCTGACCTCTTAATATTATTGTACAGTTGTGCAAGGCATTGGCATCCTTGCAAAGGTATTGGGAAGCACTGGAGATTATTAATCTCACTCTAAGATTGGCTCATTCATCTCTGTCTACTGAGAAGAAGGAGGAACTTCGATCTCTTGGAGCTCGTAAGTCCTGAACCCTGACAGGCTTGTACTTCTAGATTGATTCTTTGTTTCTAAGTTCCGACTTTTTTCATTCCAAGAAATCCAAATAAAACTTGGAAGAACTTTACTGCTTGTTTAATGTTTATTTGTTTGTTTCTTTCACTTATTTAGCTTAATATATTCCTGTTATTACAACACATAATATGAATGTTCTTTCTCAAGAGAAAGAAAATTAATTTGTTCTAGGGAGCGAAAATGCATATCTTGCTGATAAAGCTAATTTATGTTCTCCACAGAAATGGCATACAACACCACTGATCCTAAACATGGGTTTGATTGTGTAAAATACATTGTTCAGCAACATCCACACAGTTTTGCAGCTTGGAATTGCTACTACAAGGTTATCGCAAGGTAATTTCGTGGATGCAAAGAACCATGGGTTCTTGGCAAAACATTTGTTTGACTCTCAAATCTTGCTGTATTAGTTGGACTTGGACATAGATTTATGACCTAAAGGACAAAGTGAGCTGGTTTTCTAAAATTTCATTTACTTGTTTTCTCCTGGCTAATAGATTGGAAAACCGTGATACAAGACATTACAAATTTCTACGTTTCATGCAAGGAAAATTTGTGGATTGTGTGCCTCCTATCCTCATTTCTGGGCATCAGTTTACCTTATTTAGCCATCATCAAGATGCAGCGAGGAAATACCTTGAAGCTTATAAACTATTGCCAGAGAATCCATTGGTTAATCTTTGTGTTGGTATGTTTTTATTTCATGATGTATCTGTGTAATGCTTCCTAGTCAAGAACAAACAGTAATTGATTTGTTAAATGTTTCTCAGGAACCGCCTTGATTAACTTAGCATTGGGTTTCAGACTTCAAAATAAGCATCAATGTGCTGTACAAGGTTTAGCATTCCTCTACAATAATTTGAGAATCTGCGAGAACAGCCAGGTTTGTTTGCTCAACATTTCATGATTTATTTTTTTTGCACTTTTTCAAGAAGATGTTTATTTATAACGAAGATGATGATAAGAAAAAGATATCACCTTTATTTTTACATTAGACTATCTATATTCATGTACATATTGTACAAGTTCTTATCCAGTGGAAAATTATGCACAGGTAATTACCGCTTTGCTGTGTACAAATTAGAAAGCAAATTTGCTCCATTGAAACAATCCAATGTTGAATCTCTTAAACCCTAAACCACTTGTGCACTGGTGAATATGATGGTAAATCACTTACTTTTTGATTCGGTGTTTGCAGGAATCACTGTACAACATAGCTCGGGCATATCATCATGTTGGTCTTTTAACTCTGGCGGCTTTGTATTATGAGAAAGTGATTGCTATTTGCCAGAGAGACTATCCGATTCCAAAACTTCCAAATGAGAATCCAGATGTCGTGGAAAATCTTAAACCTGGTTACTGCGATCTTCGCAGAGAGGCCGCATACAATTTGCATTTGATCTACAAAAGAAGTGGTGCTCTTGATCTTGCTAGGCAAGTTCTCAAAGATCATTGTACCTTGTGAGTTCACGTGTACCTTATCAACAACAATCGTCTTGTTCTTGCAGGGCTTATGTACAGATTTTCTTTAAGAAATTTGCAATGCAATATTTATATGGTTTTGCTTCGTATCTATTCCTTATAGAGATTCTTTCTTTTGTTGTACATTTTTTTTTTTTACAATTTTAACTCTTTATAAAAATTGCATGATAATTATTAATTAAGAAAAAAAGCTCTTTTATATAAAAATTTTATTCTTAAAATTGTCAATAATTGTACTCTACTTTACTAACGTGTGTATACAAAAGAAGACATTACGAGGCACGAAGTTTTTTTTTTTTTTTCACCAGTAATAATAATGGTGTTCATTTATTAAGTTACTATAAAGACCGAACACTTGAGATTAGGGATTGTATTTGTTTCCATATTCATGCAAGAGAATCTGGTAAGCGAATATTTACGAATTTTTTCTATATCCACATATGTTTACAGTTATTGGTGAAGTGAATATTAATTAAAAAATCTTATAAATTATTTAAAAAAATATTTTAGTAATAATTTTTATTTATTCTATTTTTAAAATAATAATTTAAAAGTTAAAACTTAATTATTTAGATATTATACATAATTTATTAATCAAGATTATTATTTCAAAATCATAGGTTTAACAAATTCAATAAATTAAAATAATTCAATTTCACAAGTTCAAAATAAAAATTTAAAAAATATAATATTTTAATCTCATAAGTATAAATAAAAAAAATTAAGTAATATCATATTTTTACTTAACACATGTTATATATTTAAAAAATATATCTAGTAATTTTATTATAACAAATATATGTTGGACAGGTACTTTGATATCTATTTCCTACCTATTTATTTATTATGTATATGAATATATCTATTTAAATTTTTGCAAGTATTCGTTTATTATCCATTAAATTGTAAATATATGTGGGTATGAGTTTTTTTTTTCATCTTTGATTCAAAAACATGTTGCATTGAAATGTTTTAGGTATGAATCATTGAAATCTACATGTTGCTTACACAATAAATCTTTAATGTACAGAATTTAGTTTAGTAGTAAATATAAGATTTTTTGTTTAAACTTTGTTATCTAATTTGTAATCTTTCTCGTCTATTAAAAAAAATATAACATTTTGACCAACAAATCTCAATTATGTAAAGTATCCCATTAATATAAAATTAAAACTTTCTAGATCTATTGGTGTGAAACTTCTAACTTAACAATTGAGTTCAGCTATTATCATCAAATAAGAATTGTTATTTTTAAGTATTAAAATTCAATTTAGAAATGAAGATAAAAAATAATATATTTATAGGGAGAAAATGCTAATAATTTTTTTAAAAGTGTTGTAGAACTTAAAAAAAATCTTTTGTTGGAAAATAGATTTTAAAAATATTTTATTCAAAATAGTTATTTCAATTCATAGAAAAAATATTATAAAATTAAATGTTTTTTTATAACAATTTTTGAATGAAAAGCAGAGCAATACCCATTTACAAAAATAAGTGTAACATACTTGTCATTTATCTTTAGTTTTAAATTATATCAGTTTTTTTTTAAAGATTATGGACAGTTAAAATAACTTTTTCTACCATACATATATGATATAATTTCTATGCTAAAAATACTTATTTATCACCTGATTATAAATCAAACCACCTTGTATGCTAAGTTTATTAACTTAGATAATAATCACCGTGAAAATTAAATTAAAATTGACTTCTTATTAATTTACGGTGCATGTTCATTTAACTTTTATAAATTCATTTTATATAAAATAAACATTCATTTACATATATTAAAACACTAGTGAATAGTTAGTTAAAAAATAAAATAAAAATAAAACATAGAGCAGTATATTTTATATTTTATATTTGTAATTTACGTTTTTATCCTTGTACCACTCGCTGCTGCCTCCTTGTGACTCTGCCACGCATCTGAACGGCAGCGTCTTCCTTCGAGGCTTGCTAAGGTAAGCTCTTGTTAGTTTCTACTTACTCACTCTTCATTTCTATTTCGTATTCTCAATTTCTCATCACTTTCTTCGTCCGAGTTTGGTGTCTCTGTGAGAGTTTATGTTTTTTTAACCCTTCTTCCGAATTTGCGAATATGCACTAAGAATTTCGACAAGGTTGTGTTTTGCACACCAACTGTTTGATTAAATTAAATACATTTCTCCACATTCTTTATTTTACACTATCTCTCACTAGTCTCCGAAGTTATTGCAAAATGGAAACAAGTGTTCCAAGTTCAGCTAGAGAGGGTTTGGAATTCTAACGCACCTCAATCAATTGAAAAACTTATTAACATTACCGTGGTGATCACAGCTACATAGCTAATATGTTTGCTGATTTGTTCCAATGCTGCAGCTGAAGGCTGAAGTATTATTATAAAGAACGTGTGAGACATTTGAACTTGCACGTGACATTATTCAGAAATGCTTGTAGCTCGAAACCTCTCCCCTTCAAAGCTTAAGCCACTCTTTTATCTATCGCTCCTTTCTGAATGCAGAAGCGATTACCGCTCAAATATCTTTTCATCCTTAATACCATACTCAAAATCCCATCTCCAGAACTTCCCAAGATTTTCTCCTCAACCATCATTTTGTTTGTTTAGGTTTTTCTCTTCACAACCTGCAGATTCAGCTACAAAACAGAATTTGCCCCTCTCTCGTGAAGGTAATTATGATGAAGTCACTTCCCAATCTCTTCATGTTTGCCCTGGCTGTGGGGTTTATATGCAAGATTCCAACCCTAAACACCCTGGTTATTTTATCAAACCCTCTGAGAAGGACTTGAATTATAGATTGTACACCAATCTTGAACCCGTTGCGCAAGAGCCTGAGTTCTCTAACTCTGTTAAAAGGGGAATTGTTATTGAACCGGAAAAGCTTAATGATGATGATGTAAACTTGGTAAAGAAACCTGGGAAGCCAGTGGTGTGTGCACGTTGTCATTCGTTGAGGCACTATGGGAAGGTAAAGGATCCGACGGTGGAAAACTTGCTACCTGATTTTGACTTTGATCACACAGTGGGTAGGAAGTTGGCATCAACAAGTGGGACACGATCTGTGGTGCTGATGGTTGTGGATGCTGTGGATTTTGATGGGTCGTTTCCAAGGAAGGTTGCAAAGTTGGTTTCTAAGACGATAGAGGATCATTCTGCTGCATGGAAGCAGGGTAAGTCAGGGAATGTGCCTAGAGTGGTGCTTGTGGTGACAAAGATTGACTTGTTGCCTAGCTCATTGTCACCAACAAGGTTGGAGCACTGGATTAGACAGAGAGCAAGAGAGGGTGGGATTAATAAGGTTACTAGTTTGCACATGGTGAGTGCACTGAGGGATTGGGGACTGAAGAATCTTGTGGATAATGTGGTTGATTTGGTGGGACCTAGAGGGAATGTGTGGGCTGTTGGGGCTCAGAATGCAGGGAAGAGTACCTTGATAAACTCTATAGGGAAGTATGCTGGAGGGAAGATTACACATCTGACTGAAGCACCTGTGCCAGGTACTACACTAGGCATTGTTAGAGTGGAGGGTGTTCTTCCAAGTCAAGCAAAGTTGTTTGATACACCCGGCCTTCTTCATCCTTACCAGATTACGACGAGGTTGACGAGGGAAGAGCAAAAGCTTGTTCATATGGGCAAGGAATTGAAACCTAGGACGTACAGAATTATGGTTAGTGCACTGAAATTAATTTGTGGTGTCGAAATTAATGCACTGCAGTTTATGTGTTCATTTTTTATCTCTTGTAATTGTTAAAATTGAATGTACTTCATTCTGTTGCCAATTAATTGTGGTAGGTTGGTCATTCGATTCACATAGCTGGTCTAATGAGATTGGATATAGATGAAACGTCCCTGGATACTATTTATGTCACAGTGTGGGCATCTCCTTATCTTCCACTACATATGGGTAAAATTGAAAATGCGTGTAAAATGTTCCAAGATCATTTTGGGCAACAGTTACAGGTATTCTCTTTTCTCACTTTGATTGACTAATTCTGCAACTTCTTGTCCATAAAGCTTGTAGCTGATTTAATACTGTCCCAGAAGTATTATTTGGGTTAGTGACCTACAAATGGTGGATTTGTCTTTTAATTATTACAGAATTGTACTATTATATTTTTTTAGTTTGATCCAGAGGTGATATCCAAACTAAAATAGGTGTGTACCAACAGCTGTTAAAATGACCTTGAAATGTGTTAATCATGTTTAACCAGTCAAAGGATTTAATAGCATTTATTTCTCTTTAGTTTCACCTTTTAGATGGCTTGGCAGTGCTCTTCTAAACTTCAGTTGAATTATTTCAAGAGAATCACCTATAAACATAAGTAAAATCTAGGTATGGAGTTGTTGTAATATGCTTTAGGAGAAATTTTATACCCATCCAAATTGTACGTAGGCATCAATGTTATAGAAGAAAAAACACAAGTTGCTCTTTTGATTCGTAAGCATTATTAATTGTGTACTCCACAAGCTTCTTCTTGTATAACACCGGTCTGAATTTTTGTTTGTCTAGCCACCAATTGGAGAAAATCGAGTACAAGAACTGGGAAATTGGGTGAGAAGAGAAATCCATGTTAGTGGGAACAGTTGGGAGTCAAGTTCAGTAGACATTGCTGCTGCTGGCCTCGGTTGGTATGCCATTGGACTTAAAGGAGATGCAGTGTTAAGTGTTTGGACTTATGAAGGAGTTGATGTTGTTCTTCGCAATTCTTTAATACCCTATAGATCACATACTTTTGAAGTTGCAGGGTTTACTGTGTCCAAGATTGTGTCCCAGTCTGACCAAGCTCTAAATAAGTCACGGCCGCGAAATGACAAAAAGGCGAAGGGAATTGACTCAAAAGTGCCAACCAGTTTTGTTGAATCACGACTTTTGACTTCTGATTGAAGCATCCAATACTGTTGTCAGTTTGGGATAAAGAAAAAAGGATTGAATTGCCATCTAGTTTTCCATACAATAAAAGAGAAAGAGATGAATCAAGAATCTAAACATATAATGTCAAGTTCATCAATATCTAAAGTTCAAGAAAGTGGAGGCACAGTGGTGAGGAATGAGGATAAAATGTGGCATAAGATAGTTTACCCTGTCACCATCCTAAGATTTTTCAAAGATATTGTTTTTTTTTATTATCTTGAAATAATTGTTGCAATGGGTTGTCGGGATAAAAGTGAAATATATGCAGCGAGAAATGGTTAATAAGCGCTTTATAATATAGTATTATTTTTAACATATAATTAAATTATATGAAATTTGGGTGAATTAAGGAACAATTTTATATTATCTGGTGGGTATCACGTATATCTATACTATTCTTTACTAATAGTAAATGAAATATTCTTATTTAGTGTTCATATTTTTTTAAATAATTTTATCCTTCAACTGATTTTAAAAATTACTCTTTAACAATTATTTTGCATCTTTTAACCATCTTTTATTTTTAATTCTATACCAATAAGAAAGTACTCTTATTTAGTATCCACATTTTTTTAAACAAACTTATCTTTCAACTGATTTTAAAAACCACTTTCTAACAATTATTTGACATCTCTTTAATATCTTTTATTTTTAATTAAAAATTAATATTTTTAACTCACACAAGGCACAGAGACTGAGTGCCTGTTTTGTAACTAGTTGATATAATAGTAGTGCATATTGTTAATATTATTTCAATCATCTATGCTCATTAATTAATTAATTTGTTAAATAAAAGATGTTTTGCGATCTCTATTTAATTTCTATCAGTTCTATACCTAGCTATCCACTGTTTTAGATACTTACATCAGTTGAGTGAGTATATCACAAATCATTAAAAAAAAGGTAATAGGATTTAGCTCAATTGTTCGAAAATAATGTCTGAGTTATTGTAAACACCTTATACAAATTTGGTTATGATAAATAAAAAACTAAAAAATTTGAGTATGTATTTAAACATTTATATCTATTTTTTTTACTGGTTAAACATTTATATCATTTTAATTGGAAAATTGAAAATTTAAATGTATAAGAAAAAAATTAATTAATTGTTTTGTTTAACTTATTTTAGAAAAGTAAATAATTATTTTATTATTTTTAAGATTAAAATCAATTCATTACCAAGCAAACACTAACTTATGAGGATATAAATAAACATTTTTTTCATATCAAAATAGATAATAAAAATGATGTGTTATGTTTTTAATATTTTGATTATTTTGACTTTGATTCGTTAAAAATATAATATTGAACAATATAAATATATTTGTTTCATGTTTGATTTGAAAAATTATCATGGTAAAATATAATCTAAGAGATGATAGAACAAAAACTCAATTTTGTGATACTTAATAAATCACATGACAATTTTTGTGTCAAGTACAAAATATTTAAAAAAACAAACAAACAATCATATTTATTTCTTATTTAACAATCACATTTTATTTTTCTTGTCTTTATATTTTATTATTAACACTATTACTAGCATTATTACTATTATTCATCATCAATGACTATTGTTATTATTGTTATCACCACTTATATCATTATTGTCACTAATATTGTTACTATCGTTATCATCATCATTGAGTTAATATAATTAATATGAATTGTATTAAAATAATTAGTATTAAGAGAAGTAATACAATAAATTTTATATTATCTTTTATATTTTGTCAATTTTTCACCAAATAATGCATAGGATAAAAGTGTGTATCAAATGCAAAAGATTAAAAAAAAAATCTTTATATCTTGTTTTTTACTTTTTATCTTTCTTTCTATAAAGATATAAAATAAAATGAATTTTTTTCTCTTCACCAAAAGTTATGAAATAAACATTTAAAAATCTTTAAAGAATAAGTGAATAGATTCAAAAATATAAATGTAGTTAATCTTGTTAAAAGTTAAAATAAATGCTATGGCCAATTTTATTTTTTTTTAAATAAATGCTTGATAATTTTTAAGCTTAATTGCGCCTCTCTTTGTGACCATTATTTTGCTAATTTAGTTCTTTCACTCTTTTTTTTTTTTTGTAATTTTTATCTTATTATTAAAAAATATTACGATGATATTAATAAAATAAAATTTAAATCTTCGTACATTTATTTTGATCACGTCACTAAATAACCTTAGTTTTACTTATTATATTTGATTTCAATTGTTTAAATTTTGCTCATAAGTTAAGTCTATTTACGTTTGTTTGGTGTAATCAAGGTGCATGGAGCTAGGGATATAAGGAGGGAAGGTCAACAAAAAAGTGTGTGAAATTGTGATGATTTAGGATGATTTAACATGTTTGATGTGTAAGAAGGGAGAAAAAGAAAGTGGAATATAAGTGTTGGTCGTATTATTTTTCTTATCCTCGAGAGTGAAGAGATTGGAAGATATATATAACAATTATTTACAATTGTATTTTTGTCTTTTATTCACATGAGTGTACACTCAATTTAAGTTTTAAAGTTTTTTTGTCATATCGTGAAAAAACATAATCGATTATAGATTACACATAATTGTTTATTACATGTTTTCCATTATTCTATGGGCTTAACTTGTCTATATTATTAAATTTACAGTAAGTATAGTCACTTATGTAAAATTGAGATACATTTTTGGTGATATATAAAAATTCATACAATTGATTATGATCATCATATAATTGGTTATATAAAATTATTTAATAAAATAAAATAAAATCAACAAATTAATTATAAAATACATATTTATAAATTAATTTATAACATTATTTTAACCTTTTAATTTAATTCAATATAAACCAATTTTTTTTTATAAAAAAAAATCCCTCCAACTCTCTTTCTATCAAACACCTTCAATTTTTCTTTTATTTCCTACTTACTTTCCTCGTCTTCTTTTATCACCCATCCTTCCAATTCCATCCTTGCTATGAAAGTGAGCATGTTCAGTAAAAACATTAACATGATAATGTAATAAAATGTTACATGTGAACTATTGACATTGCAATGCAATATAATATAATGTTACATCAACATTTATTTTAAATATTCTATACTATCAATTATCAAATCAACAATACTAACAAATGGTTAGATAGAATGAAATTGGACTTGATTTTATAAATAAGTTATCAAATAAAAAAAAAGTAATTGAAAAAAAAGCTTTAATAAATATATTTAATCAATTTTTTTTAACAAATATTAATTATCACTAAAATTAGTGAATATTTTGCCTAATAGTATAGTTCAAAAAAGAAACAACTAATCAAAATTGTAAATTAAAAGAGATATGGATCAATTTTTCAGAAGAATTAAAGAGAATAAAAATATAATCAAGCCTATTCTTTATTATAAAAAAATTAAACAAAAATATTATAATTGTAAAATAAAAAGGGAAAACTTTTATTTTTATTAACATGATTTTTGAAAAGCAAAGGAAAAAGAAAGAAAAGTTGAGAAACGTAGGAGATTTTGACATCACATGGCCAGCTAATGGCATTGCCAGCCCAGAGACAGAGAGGATATGATAGGAATTTGGACATTCCATTTTGACCATTGTTCTTCTGTTCACAACCCTAACCTACACTATATACTATATACCATTTTTTTTTAATTTTTATTTTTACTTATTATATTTATATTCATTCACATTTTATATTTTCTCATTATTTACTAATTAAATTAATTAGCTCAATCGGAGCGTTCTTCTCCGGCGTCCCTCGATTCCATGGGCCTTCTCTCTCTCTAGGGTTTGCTTTCTCCGATCGCCGCTCCGCAGAGATGTCGCGCCAGACGACGTCGTCTGCCTTCACCAAATCCAAAACCCTCGACAACAAATATGTTCGTCATTTTTTCCCTTTCACTCCTTCGATCTCAATGTTTTCGTAATGCTGCTTTGAATATCGTACTCATTGTTTTCGCAACTCCGTATTGCTTGTGTTGCCCTTCCGTAGAGTCCTGAATGGGCCACTGAAGGTCAATTAGTGGAAGCTTTAGCTTTCGGTTTGTGTTGTTGTTGTTGTTGTTGTTGTTGTTGTTGTGTATCAATGAAGTTAGAGGAGCTCGGGTGATTGTTTGCTTTGTTGTTAGTTTGATAAGGCGCATAATGAAACTACGAGATGACCTTAGTGTAGGAGAGGCTGCTACTGTAGTTGTTGAAACCTGAGATTGAGATTACTGTGATTGTGAGGTGATGGAACGGTGCTGGAATTGGTGGCTGGAGGGGGTGTTAGGGTGCTGGGGTGATGTCGAGAGGTGTTAGGAACTGAAATGGAAATAGTGGTGGTGGTTGCAAGAATGAGGTCGAGGAATGCTTTGTATGTTGGTTTTGAAGGGAGTTTTACATAAACCGGAGGTGGGGATGCAACTGCTGGGTTGGATGATGGCAGTTGCTGAATGTTTTTTCATCTAGAGACTAGAGATTGGTTGGGAAATGGTTTTAATTTGATTTTATTGTTTCTTAGGAGTTTAGTTATATTATTTTGGGTTTGCATGCAAGTGGTAGGGAATTCGTCCTGTTGTTCTTGATATTCGTTTGCAGAAATATTTGGCTTTTCTTGTCTTGCTTCTGTTTTTAGAATTTGCTTTGTTTGTATATGGGATTTGGAGCAGATGCTGGGAGATGAGATTGGAAAAGGAGCTTATGGTCGAGTTTACAAGGGTTTGGACCTGGAGAATGGAGATTTTGTTGCCATTAAACAAGTTTCTTTGGAGAATATTGCTCAGGAGGATCTCAACATCATCATGGTATATAATGTGTTTCATATTTTTTCTTTTTCACTTTTAACTTTTATGTTATCTATTAACTATAAATGGGTAAGCTTAGAGACTTGTGTCCTACATTGCATGGATTTGGTTACGTTCGAGTACTGGCTACAAATATTGGTGTGGGATATGATATTTTTTTATAAAAATCTTAAATACAGGTACCATAGTGTGTGTCTGTGATAGTATAAAAAGGATAAAAAAACACATAAAATTTTCTGGTTTCATACTAACTAACTGAACACTAAGCATTATCTCTTAGTATTACACATTAAGCGTTAGCAATGGGAATGACAAATCAAATTGAAGAATGCATGTGTTTATACAAATCAAATAGCAATCATAGAGAATGTTACTGGTCTGCTCTGGAAGGGATACCACCTGGCTGTTGCTGGTTGGTTGGCTGTGACAGAAAGGATGCAGTGGAGCAAACACAGGTGGCCTGGTGCAGATCAGAAACAGACCACCAGAGTAGACAAGGAGACACTGTCCCTGATGCAAATGTTGTCACAGCTGCAGATCGTGGAGAGGACAAGATGCAAGTAACATTATCTCATCTTTGGCAGACGTAAGTGTTTGCCTTTCAAAGAAGACATTTTTAAGCAAACTGAAGAACCCACTAGTTGAAAGAGAGAATATTATTAATTTGTATCATACATTTGTCCCTAAAACAGGTAACTATGAAAATAAACAAATATAAAAGAAATAAGAAAAGATTATATCAAATCTCCTAAGATATTTTTATTTACAACTCCAGTGCTGAATTACAGAATGAGATGTAAGATTACGGAGGAGACAAGTGATGACCCAAAGCAAAAGAAGCCTTAAGATGTTACCAAAATGATGTTTAGCCAAAAGCTGGGCCTAGCTGAACTTGAGTTGTACCCAAGCTTGATCCAATATTTTAATTAATTTGATACATATCCAGTATGTACTCACACGTACCCGGTGTGTTCCTCTACTTGATACTAGTACACTTCCATTTTCGGAGTACGCACGCTTCAAAGCTGATGTCCTGATGGCACCTTTAGGGAGAAGTTGACTTTGGTCTAGTTAAAAATGTGATAGTCCAGGGGTTGTGGTGTCAGGGTGGTAGCTTGAGATATTACTTTTTAACCTGTTCTTATTATGAAGAAAAATGTGTGGCTGTAGGAATTAAATGCGATTACTAGGATGTTTCTCACCCAACTTATTAGTTCTTGGAATTGACTTTTATTAATGTGTTATGACTGTCTGGCTAAGTGAGTTACTGAAGGAAACAAATTTTTTAGTTTGGATTTTATGTGGGAATTAAGGTTATTTTGTTGAGTAAGAATAAGGTTTTATTTGTGATTTTGGGAATTATTAATTTTGTATGTTATTCTAACCACCCATCATCTTAGCCCTAGCATTAATAGGATTTTATTGCTTAGTGGTTGCTCCATGGGGGCTGTAAATAGCCTTTCTTGCATTACTTCTTTAGGCATTTTGATTGAGATGTATTTGGAGTTCTGCCAATATCATAATAGCACAATTATAAGGAATATTGGCTAGTTGGTCTTGTTACAGACAATAGTACTTGTTTCTATTATTATATCTTGGTTAAAAGAAGAAATTCATTATGCTTAAAAGGATAGAAAGAATGATTCTCCTTAACAAATACTGGAGATATTTAACTAAAGGAAAAAAAAAAACATTGATAGAGCAATGCTGCTCAGTCACTCTACATTATTGTTGAGGATCTGCTTTAAAAATAGGATCCAGTTTCCTAATCTTATCTCAAATTCTGTACAATTTGGGGGGTTCTGGGTGCGGGGATGCTCAGTATCAATTTTTGTAATACTGTTCATTGCATGGATAAGCTGACTCCTGTGGACGTTTATTGTCTGAAGTGACCACCTAAACCAGCAGCTATTAATAAAATATTTTCTAGTTATACATATATTATGCTCTAACCTGATATGCCAGATAGTAGCATAGATTGCATGTTGCCATAAAAAATGACCTCTTTAATTAGGGCGCACTCATCATTGGGTTCAAGGGTCATTTCACTTATGACTGTTTCTTAGACCGTTTATTTTTTTATGGGTGACTTTCCTAGCACACTTGAATTACCAGCATGTGTTGTGCAACAGAAAAAACAACTACAAAGCAAGGTTATCGATGGCGGATAACGGTCTATGGCGGTGAGGCCAAAAATCCTTTATAACTCTATGGCGGATGCCATGGCGGCCTATGACGGGCGTCATGGCGGACAAAAAAAAATTAATAATAAAAATATTTATATATATTATATACAAAGAAAATAGCAAAACAATAAATAACAAGTAACAAAACTAAATTAAAAGCAACATAATATCAACTTAAATACTTAAATATCATAACAACAATACCATAATTCATTAAGTCTCATAACATAATTGATTAAAACACAACAAAAAACATAGAAAAACAAGAGTACAAGAAGCATTTTGCTAATCTAATCATCCTTCTCATCATCATCATTCTCCTCCTCTTCCTCAATATAATCATTCTCTTCATAAAATAGGAACAATAATAAAATAGGAACTCAATATTATTTTAGAATTTATAAAAAAAATAGAAATTTAAATTGACCCAATTAGTAGAAGAATTAAGATTAAAAAAATTCTTGTTGCAGATGCAGCAACCAACTCATTAAAAATGAAGAAAGGATTCAAAGGAGTAGGAAAAAAATAAAGGAAAAAGGAGGATTAAAACTGGAGAAAAAAAAAACTGTTAGGTTTTAACTCGCCGGAGTTGTTCACCGGAGTGCAAGACCACCACGATTCAGGTCGCCGGCCAAAAACGTGACCAAGGGGTGGTGGGCGACGGTGAACGACAGTGATCAAAGATGGTTTCGAATTTCATAGGTCCTATTCATGCCCGCGTTGTGGTTCAGGTCGTCGAAGCCGTGGACCACTGCGGTTCAGGTCGTCGGTCAGAGAGATGACTGGCGAGTGGTGGGCGACGGCAGAGGAACGTCATCGGAGACTGGTTGAAGGTAGATGAGCTGTGTTTGGGTGGGTGGCTGTCATGGCTTCTCATTCTTCAACCCTAAAACCATTAGGGCATACTTGTTGGGCCTAGTTTGAAGCCCAAAACTGGCCCCAGACCCGTTACGTCCGCTATCACCTTTATAGCGTTATGGGTCAAAACGGAAATGGCGGCCGCCATGCCGAAAATGGCGGACGGCGCCACAAAACGCCATTTTGCGGATGGCGAATGGCGGCGAGGCCCAAAACCGCCCCGCCATACCGTTATAGCGGCGTTATAACGGTTTTTTGATAACCTTGCTACAAAGTCAATGCCCTTTTTAACTCTTGATGTCTTTATATTGTTGCTTTCATAATTGATATTTCATTATCTCTATTAACAAATTTGGGTGCTGTTTTGTCTGTGATTTGATGGATGCCTCAATGTTTTCAGCAAGAGATTGACTTGTTAAAGGTACTTTTGATTCCTCAATGTTCGATTTGCATTACATTATCAATTGAATTTTCCTTTGCTCAATAGCTTTCTTGGTATTATTTACTCTATCTCTTCCATGTATATATTTTGCTTGTAAGCTTTAGTCAATGATATTCAATGAGATGCTATTGCTGTTCTTGCATTAAATTATACTTTTACAAACTTTTAAGATTTGGATTGGACCAAATGGAGTGTGGTCTACTTGCCTGAGTTGGGAAAATTGGCTATTAATTGATGATATATGCATGATTTCATTTCTTGCACATGCTCCATGCATGTTGTTGAAGATGAATAAAAGGCAAGAACTTTGTGCCAAAACCTTGCATGGGGAATCGCAAAGTTCTCCAAAAAAATGGGTGAGAAACCATAAACTATGGTGGCTAAGTGGGATTTGTGCACCTGTACTGTATAGAATGCAGTAAGCTATCATGGCTATGATAGCAGGCTGTGAGGACCATAACAGATAAAATGTGACCTTATGTGCTGGATGTAGTGTTCAGGTGGAGGTGCCATGAGCTCATGAAAAGAGGTGGCACCATGATTGACTACTATGCTATCTTTCTATGGTTATTGATGATGTAAAAATGATTAGTTTATTGGCTTAAACCCTAAACTGTACAAAAAGCCTGGGTTTCTAAGCACTTCTGGAATGGGTATAGTGATATTATATGATGCCATGTTTCTGAAATGACTATCATTTTGCAGAATTTGAACCACAAAAACATTGTGAAGTATCTTGGATCTTCAAAGACAAAAAGTCACCTGCACATAGTTCTTGAGTAAGTGGACTTGACTCTTTCACAACATAATAAGATTTAAGCCTAGTATCATTTGAAGGGTATTTAGAGGAGTTGATGGATTTTGTTTCCCGTCTTTTTGCAATATCATAGGTATGTGGAGAATGGCTCACTTGCAAATATTATCAAGCCAAATAAATTTGGACCTTTCCCAGAATCATTGGTTGCAGTATATATCGCCCAGGTTTGTAGGTGTAAGACTATTCATTGAGGTTTTTCCTGGATTTGATTATTTTTGGATTTTATTCTAAAAGTATTATATTATGAAATAGGTGTTGGAAGGTTTGGTTTATCTACATGAACAAGGTGTTATCCATAGGGATATTAAGGGTGCAAACATATTGACAACTAAAGAGGCAAGCCTTATATTTTTGTTGTTCTTATCACATTATATACTAGGGCTGTGTTTTGGCAATTATTCTGGTTGTGTATATGCGCAATGATTTCATCACTATGCTATTCAAGCAATCTGTATGCAGATGAATTTGGTTATCATATAATCTTTCCTTTCATAGTTTCATTAGGACAAAATTAATTGTATCTGGATGTATTGTTATTAGTAATCCAAACTCACTGCTTAGTCGTGTTGATCACCAAAGTGTTGTTTTTAGATTATATAATTATAATTATATTTTGCATCATCATTGCTTTTATGCTTCATGATCAACCACCTTCATTTTGGCTCTATTTTTTTCAAGCAGTGTTTCTTTCATACTTCTTTACTCTGCTAAATTTTGTTTGTGTAAATATTCTGTTTATCCTTTATGATTATAAAGATAGCTAACTATTTTACTTTAGTGGCTGCTCAATCAGTTAGCTGAACTGCTGTTCCAAGCAATTCTATATTTTTGGGAGTGAGTCAATTTTGAATTTAGCCCTTCCCACTTTCTTAAATAAGGCAGTGGAATTAGAAGACAAAAGGAGGGAGTCCATTTTGGCCCATTTGTTTTGAGCATTATTATGCTACTCGCTATTTTGCATTTAATTCATAACCCTGTATGTACAATTTTAAATAAAAATAAAAACTAATGAAGATGAAAAGAGGAAAAGTGAGAGGAATAAGTAGGATAAGGCATCTTCCTTAATGGAAAAATAAGACAACACAGAAAAATGAGTAAACATTGATTGGAAAAGACCAGACTGCCCTCCTACACCAACTTTCTTTTAGGAGCTTCCTTTTCAGTCTCTGTTTTTCTCTCACTTTGTTTTGTTATTGTTGAGGATTGAGGATTTCTTTTGGATCTCTTCACCTTTTTGAGATTTAGCTTCTCTAAAGTGAGGAAGTATAATAGCCACTGATTGAATAATTATTACTTAGTGATTGAGATTGAATCAACTACATAGTTTATTATTCATCTGAATGTAACAATCACAATCTCAGTCGTTTATTTTTCATTCAATGGCTATAACTTCTTGTTTTTACCTCTAAAGCAAATCCCTAATTCTATAGGGGTCAAATCTAACCTTTTGAACTTCCATCACTAATAAAATTTCTTCTTCTACAACAATTTTTCCATGGTCTACTTTATACATTACAGTACCACCATGGGTTTCCTCTGACATCACTCTTGGTTTTGTCCTTTTTTTAATGCTATTGTTTTTTTTTTTGTTTTATTATTTTTTCTTGGTTTAAATCTAGACAGTTTGCTTTATTTCTTACTAATTACATTTAACTTCTGCTTTCAGGGTCTTGTCAAACTTGCTGATTTTGGTGTTGCAACAAAATTAACAGAGGCTGATGTTAACACTCATTCAGTTGTTGGAACGCCTTACTGGATGGCCCCAGAGGTATTAATTGTGTGATATTCTTCTACTAAATCACTTGCTCATAGCTTTTAATTAGTGCCTTCTTCAAATTGTCTTCTAACACAAGAATGATATGCAAAGAGATTGGACTACTTTGTTCTTTGTTTTTAATTTTGAGTCACTTTGGTTTGCTCTTTACTTTGTGTATTTTTAGGAGGTTCTCTTCTCTCAGATGTACTGTCCTTTCTGTCGTGTATTTTACTTTAAATAGTTTATTTATTGAGCTGAGCACCTTTCTGACACTTTAGTGATCCTAATAAAGTTGATTGTGAATTAAAGTGACACTGATAATTTTGGTTTAATTTTTCAGGTTATAGAAATGTCTGGGGTTTGTGCAGCTTCTGACATTTGGAGTGTTGGCTGTACAGTTATTGAACTTCTTACATGTGTACCTCCTTATTATGATTTGCAGCCTATGCCGGCTCTTTTCCGTATTGTCCAGGTTTGCTTATGTGCTATTATTTATTTATTTATTCAATATTTGAAGGTTCCTTGGACTTTAATTTCTTATAACATTTTGCCAGATAGTGGCAATTACACTTGATTGTAAAACAAATGAGTTCATAATTGGTGTATTTTATGCT